ACCGCCTTTGGTACCAGGTCTGGCCGAGTTAGGTAAGCTCGGTAATCCAGCTCCCGCCTTGACCCCTGTGTAAGATGGCGTGTCCGTGGTCCTGCCTGGTTGGTACAGTGGAGGAGAACATGGCATATGTCTTGAAGGCCGCGTCCGCAGGCGCATTCAGTCGATTCCATGGCTTTGAAGGTACCAAGATAACCAGCCAGCGCAATCTTTCCAGTTTGCATTTGAATGAGAACTGATGTAGCGGCTCTCCGAAGGCCTTGGTATAGTCGCATTGGTGCTTTTGAAGGCTCTTTCCATAAGCGACGGAGAGAGCTCCCATGGGTGGAAGCAGCCCATTCAGTCTTCCATGCACTGGTTGCTTCTATGCGGAGGCTTCTTCGAGCGCTGGCCATGAGAGTGAGCTCTTCCGCGCCATTGGGTGCCGGGGAATTAGCAGCTTCTTTTGCAAGAGCATCAGCACACTCGTTGCCGTAGACGCCTTCATGACCTGGGATTCATTGATGGTATGGTGAAACGTTGAAATCCATGCTTATATTTCCATGCCATAAAAGTGAATCTAGAAAACCATATCTCGATCCTTTAGGAGTGATAGAACACCGTGATACCCAAATTTAAAAGGAAAGCGAAAAGCAAAAGACAGGGTATCTTGAAAAAACGACATCAAACTGACGCCGCTTAACCCAGAAAACCTCCCACACGATAAACGCCGTAAATCAAGTGTTGACACCCTAAGTCAGTTAGCAAGTATGATTAAAATGACGGGGGTAATGGGACATACGAATAAATATCCCAACTCCCTGGTCCCCAACCTCGACACATTCTTCGACGCATTCTCATCCAACGCACCCTCGATCACCTCACGCTTCTTCTCCTGCAATTCCAAGATACGATCCTCAACAGTCTTCTCTACCAGGATGCGATGGACCTGTACCTCGCGCTGTTGTCCGATCCGATGCGCGCGATCAATCGCCTGCTCCTCGATATACGGGTTCCAGAAGGGGTCGAAAACGATGACCTGCGAAGCGGCAACGAGGTTTAGACCTGAGTTTCCGGCTTTCAGCGACACAAGCATGATCTTGCAGTCGGGTTGGTCGGTGAAGTCGAGGACGGCGGCGTTACGGTCCGGGGGTCGCATGCTGCCGTCGTAGCGGCGGTAGTTCCAGCCGCGGCGGGCGATGGGGACTTCGAGAAGATCGAGGAGGGAGGTGAACTGAGAGAAGATGATGGTTTTCTCGCCTTCTTGGCGGTCCTCAACCGCCTGGAGGATTTCCATAGTCTTGTCGATTTTGGCGCTGGAAACCCAGTTCTTTTCGAGGCGGTGGAGGTATTTGCGCTTGGCCTTTTGGTTGCGCATGCCTTCTTTCTTCAGTTCGGCGAGGGTCTTCTTGGGTTTCTTGATCTTCTTCCCCTTGCCTTTGCCCTTATCCCTGTCGGAATAGCCAAAGTCGTTGTCCTTGACGATGAACTTGGAGAGGTCCTCATCGTCGCTCTCACTATCGCGATCAGTTTCATCGGGGTCTTCCTCTGCAACTGGCTTCTCAGGTGCAGCCTCCTCAGTCTCATCAGAAGGGTCCGGAAAGTGGACTTTGTTGAACGTAGCGTGATCGGTGATCTTCTTGGTATCGACTTTGCCACGGCAGTTCGGACACTTCACCTCGATAGATCCATCAACACCGTGTCGCACAGCCTGAGATGGGTCCGATATCCTCGAAAAGCACTCCGCACAGGTACTGTGTCCACAAGGGAAGAAAATGATAGGATTGTCAACAGCATCGATACAAATCGGACACTCGAGTTCCTGGTTATCCTTCAAACGAATCACAACCTCACTGGGGAACGCCTTGGCATTCGCGACCAGATCAACTTCGTTCGTGTTTGCGTTTGTCTCGACGTTGACGCTGAAATCCGACATCAGATGCGGGTGGCAGCAGGCTTGGCGGAGTCGCAGCAGCAAAACAAGAATGCTGGAGTAATTCCGGCCAACCGTGCCGGCCTTGAGGTATTTGTTGAAGGTGACCTGCGTTTGGCTCTCCAGAGAAGTGTACAGTTCTCGTTCGTCCTCGCTGAAAATCCCATACACCTTCTCTGAAACGCGCGGGGGTAGCTGCAGGATTGGCTTTCCGTCAATCTTTGAGTACTTGGTCCGTCGCAAAAGGACTGCCTTGAGCAGAACTTGAAGCTGTCTCATGGCTTTTTCTCGCGCCGAGTCCGGGCCTTTCTTGAGCGGCCTCGTGAATTCCTAGTCGCAATATCAGCATCATACGCAGATGTAATCGAATTGAAATACTTACACGGTTGAACCGTTCAAGATTCGAGTAAGGGCGAATGCGTAGGAACCTCAGCAGTGAATGCAACTCCTCCACGTTGTTCATCATAGGCGTACCACTCATACACCATCGATGCGTGGAATCCAACTGACAAGCAGCCAGCGCAGCCTTGGTATTCCGGTTCTTGATGCATTGCGCCTCATCAATGATGACCCGATGCCACTTACTCTTAGGACCCAGGCACGGCAGTTGGTTGACAACCTTTGGCGGCAAAGGCTCGCTTGACCCAGACTGTTTGTGCAGCTGCTCAAAGTGTTCCTTGCGTTTATACTCCGACGCCAGCGTTCCAAAAGTGGTAAGAACCACGTCGTATTCTTTTAGGTCTCTGAAACTCGTCGACCGTTTGTCGCCATGTAGAACAAAGACGGACAACTGATGCCGGCCGGGTCGTAGCAGTCGCTCGATTTCCCGTTTCCATTGTTGCATCAAGGCAACGGGAGCGATGACCAAGTTCGACTTGCGTTCAGGATTGCTCGATTGCCGTGAGCTCATAAGGGCCAGTGCTTGGATGGTCTTCCCGAGACCCATGTCATCCGCCAGGATTCCGCCTCTCGTTTCGCTGTCTTCCATCGACTTCATCCAGGCCAGTCCCAGCTTCTGGTGCTCCAATAGCGTGACCTTGAGGGCCTCTGGAGTACCCTCCCGGTTTTGCTTGGATAACTCCATATCGGGTCTGATATTTTCGAGCAGCTGTTTAATCTCTTCCGCGGTCTTCTTGGGATCTGCACCGTCTCCATAAAGGTCATTAAAGCCTAACGAATCAAAAGTTGAGTCGTTGAATCCATAGTCCAGGGTACGGGAGATTGCATCTTCAGACTTGAAAGCAGAATATTCCGGGAATCCACCATACACGGACTTCCCCGCTTGGTCCAGTAAATGACGTCCTGCATTGAGCCTTGCCATGGTATTCTGCAAGACGTTGTGGCCATAAATCGGGCCAGAACCAGATCCAGTCTCAAAAGCACTTGGACCCGGCGTCGGTTGGTAGACAGGGTTGTAGGTTTGGCTCATCTGTTGATATGGAGGCATCGACGGGAAACCCATGTTAGAAGTCCACATTGCCGGTGGCTTGTCAAGACCATTTTCTGCAAACGAGGAGTCTCGAGGACGAGCCCAAAAATCACTTGGGGTTATTTCCTGGATGTCACTGTCATCACTCTCCTGTTTGAGTGACGGGAGCTGGCGATCAGTTGGCGGGGCCTTATTTGAATTGAAACTAGACATTAAATGCCTTGATTGACGATCGGGGACACTGGGCATGAATGGTGACTGGTGTGCGGGAGGGAAGAGTCGAGTCTGGTCTACTGGATCCGGTCTCAGAGCCGGCAAAATCGGGGCCTCGACCTGTGCCTGGGCTAGAGCTGGAGTCGGAGCGGCGGACGCAAGAAATGGAAGCGAAGAACCGTAGTACATGGATGTCGAACTTTGAGCAGACGCAGGCCGTGGTAGTTCTCGTGGCAGCTCTCGTGGTCGTTCCCGCGGGCGCTCAAACAGACCATCGTGAAGCATCCGCGCATACTCCTCATCCCGCCGTTCCTGGTCCTTCCGCTCCTTTAACCATTGTTCTGCCTTCCTCTGCTCATCCTGAAACGCAACCATAGTATCCTCGTCATCCAGGCCTAGTAACTGCCGGAGTTCGTCTGCACCATCGTACTCGTCGCTGTCTTCCTGCGTAGACGGGGCAAGTTGACTCGATATAGGAGGGAGGTATGCGTCGCTTTGAATTCGCTTGTTCGGCGGTCGCATTCCATCTGAGGGTTCGTCCGTGTGTCGACGCTTTCGATTAGAAAGATCGTGGGATCGTTGCGCTGGAGCGAAGCTGGGGGACTCGCCCTGGCCCAGGCCCCATCGAGGCGGCGGCGGCGAGTCATCGAACGGGCTCACGTCGTAGGAGCCGTCGAGTTGTGCTGCTGATAGCATCGAGGAGGAAGGAGGAGCTGGTGTCGCTGAGTTATTCTCTGAGCTCGGTTTGGGCGATGGCTCACCGCGAAGTTGTGCCAGTTGCGATTGCAAGGATTTGATGATGTCGAGGATCTCTTGTCGTTCATCGACGGCGTCCGGGCGCTGTTCGTCAAGACTCTGCAGGATGACTTCGTGAAGTTGAAGATCCTCCATGACATCCTCAGTAGACGGATCATTGAAAGGGTCAGTCATGTTTTTAAATAGGCTGCTGCCGGGGTGATCCGTCTGCCTGGTGAATGAAGTGTAAGTCGGAAGCTGCTGCAAGGCTCTGGCCGTTCAGGGAAAAAACCCTGGAATTTTCCAGTAAGACTACGGCCAGCCAATCGGCCCGTAGGCAATGGGTAAAACTTCTTTTCTTTTTTTGGAATGAGTGAAAGAGGAGAAGAGCAGCAACGGTGGTGAGAGTGTCACCGTTCGAGGCGCGTACAACTCGAGGCTGAGATCTCGTCTTGGCGTTATCTTTACACGAGTGCACCAGTTTATACTTCGCCAGAGTTGTTTAGAGATACAGTTGTCAATAACTGGATTTAGTCGGCTTTCTCTCTTTTTATTTCCTTATTTGATTTGATTTGATGTGATGTTTTCCCCGTGGAATAAGGTAACTGCCATACTGGTGATATATATTGCCTCACTGCGTACGCAACACATACGAAGCAAAAAAGCAACAACCATCGAGACATACGCAAGACACTGTCTCCATAGGAATGTTATGCTGAGCTGAAAGCATCATCCCCGCCTCAACCTGCACTTCGACCGACCTCGGTCAGTCTGGTTCGAAACCAGCCTGATATAAACGGCGATCCACGTCCGTGGGTACAGAGGTGGTCTGCTCCGTACTTTGTCGGGCGATTTGAAAGAGGATAGAGAAACGAAAATTGCTGGACTCGTTGGTTGCACAGACCGGGCAGGATACTGAGACTATCTCTTCTTGGACAATGGCGTGGCTGTACACTGCCTTCCCCCATACGAGAATCCCCAGAGAATAAAGATCGGAGAGCAAAAGCTCATTTAGCAAGTACTGAATCAGCCGAAATCATCGAATAAAACATCAGTGAAACTAGTGTAGCCCAGTATCACTGCTTCTCTGCTCTATCAACAACTCGAAAGCACCGTCATGCTGTCAGGCATTCTACTCCGGACTAGGCCAACAACAGCGAATCCACTTCAATAACTCCTACTACGCACCCAACAACCAACAATCTGCCCATCACTCAAACCCTTGTACCGTTCTTCATTTCCGGCCCACCCTCTCGCCGTTACGACACAGCCCTCCCATTGCTTCTGTTCCCATTCGTCAAGCATCTCCTGATACGGGTCTATCACGAAAGGATTAGCCGGTGTCCAATTCCAACAGCAGCAGCAGCAAGATGGAGTACTCACCATAATCATCATCATCATCATCATCATCAGACTGTTCCTTCCTCTGCGCCCATTCATGCACTGCACCCGAAGCACGCCATTCCTCTTCCTTTGCAGCACGATTGAACTGATAGTCAAACTGCGCCATCAATACTGCAAGCGATTGATAGCGTTCCGTGCGTTCGGGTTCAGGCAGACGGTCGACGTAAGGTGAGCGGTAGAGACGGAGAACTTCTTCCATAGTATATGGGTCTAGAGTATCTTTCGTCTTGTCTCTAGAGTAATATCTAGATCTTGCGAATGTGGAACACTGGAGGCTGGGGGCGAGGTGACCATTGGAGCGGAGGTGCTTTTATGCTTCTCAGTCATTATGGCTTTTTGGTGTGTCTTTCTGGAATATGAGAGAGCAATGGGGGTAAAAATGGTGTAGAAAGGCTCCAGGCATCAGCGGTAGAAGAAGGCAGCATTGCCTAATTAGGCAGTCAAGGCCTAGAATCATCTACATACTACGACTACCACAAGTGATATTGGACTTTGGAGATTGTAGAAGTATATCAGATTTGAGGGTAGGAATATATCGGTCCAATGGTCTAACATATTGTACATACAGTTCTATCTTGCTAGAGTCAGTACAGCATCGTTGTTGATCCGTCATCTGCTCGTAGTCCAAGTTCTTGAAAACATAACCTTCATAATAAAACCCATGCCCGGTAGACACCGTACGCTTAGCTTAGCGAAGAAAACAGTGAAATCGAGGAGTTGTTGCCTCCGTGACATCCAAGAGAACGGATACGCACCACGCTCGATTCATTACTATATAGTGTGAGGGATCTGAGGAAATTGGGATTAAAACGGACTATAGAAACTGTCTGGATTCACTACTGTAGGAAGTAGAGACGTAGAAAATAGCATCAATAACAATTGTATGAAGCTATGAAGCATAAATCGGGGCATCCTAATTACTCTTCCTGCATAACATCTTCATGATCATCCTTCGTTGGTTCGTCCTTCAGTTTCTCGTCCTTTGCTTCTTCATTTTTTCCCTCCTTCTTATCCTCCGGCCCTTCATCGTGCTTGTCCTTCTTATCCTCAACCGGCTTCCTATGTCTCTGCGCCAGCCACTTATCAATCGTGTCCTGATCCGGCCATTCAGGCATGTTAGGGATGCTAACGTCCACTTTTCGAGATCAGTATAAGTCCAGCAACAGCACAAGAGGATCAAAGACTAACAAAGAATTTCCGGGATATTAAGCGCCTCTGGAAGATCCATATACCAACTAATAGTGGCCATCTCCGTTCGAACCCCTTCAAGGCGTCTGAACACTTCGCCTTCGGTCGAATTCTTAGTCGATTTCGAATCTTTGGGCTCGGGGGAGTCATCTCTCTTCTTGTCCGATCTATTTCTGATCGTCCTTGTAGTAGTGTTGTGCTTTTTAGGAATTGGGGCACTGTCGGGTATTGAGGCGGACCTCTTTTGGGGGATGAGAGAGGGTTGGTCGCTTATCACTTCGGAGACTGCCATGTCGTTCTTGCTCTGTTCTTTATCTTTCAAGAGGTTGGAATAACGGGGATATGGTTTTACGTAGGCGTAACTCATTTAAGTACCCATATCCCCAGGCACCGAAGGAGGACTGGTATATATGACCTAATTGCCTCCCTATTTTGATACCAGCTATAATGATAAGCAAAAGCCCAGCAACCACGTATATGTTTTCTGGACGCTTAGTTTCCAGGGGATATGGCAAATAAATACTATATACTGCACTAGCATTTATTTAGATAGCTTGGTAGCTGATCAGATACGTCATTCTTCTCAGATACCACTAAAAAGCTTTAGCTATATATCAAGGTTTTCATAAGTCCCATTCCCCAACGCTTGCACCCCCCTCCAACTATTAAGCATAACCTTTGAGTATTCACTATGACCACTATTGATAATTATCCAGTGCTTAACAGCAAAATCTAACCTGTATTGAGTACCTACAATCGACATCCCTCACTGCGGACTGCGAGGCAATGGCTCTTCCACTGAGCCGGCCTGATTCATAAATCTCTCATACTCAGTCATCATATGCTCAATCCGCTTATAGCGCTCCAGTCTTTTCTTTCCGGGAAGACGGTTAAGGTAAGCTGAGAGGGAGGGTAGGGGAGCATGGTTTCATGTATCTGGAGATGCTGTCACTGTTTCGGTTGTAGTATCGGATTTCTGAGCTGAGCGAGAGTCGTGGTTAGTATCTGATGGCGAAGAGGTGCCCCTCTCAGGCGTCCCAGAGGTCCTTTGGTGTTCAATTGCTATGTTTCCCTTGTTTTCCTTTGCTAAAAGCGGATGGGATGGAGGGAGAGACTTTTACAACCACATGACTCATTTCATCAAGGAACAGAGCATCTGAACAACACCTTGATTTATTGTAAACATTTATAAAATATCTGGGCATGTATGACACTTTTCTCGGTAGAGAGGATATGACCTAATTAGGCTACATGTAGCATCTAGCGATATTATATGAACCGACTCGTAGCGCTCCCACTTCTTGCCCTTGAGAGCTCCGTCAAGCCGCCGATTTTCTCGTAGAAGGCGCCTCCCGGGGTCATTTGGATGGCCATGGTTTAGCATTTCCGTCAAGAACGATGGTATGCGTTCTTTCCGCCGTCCCGGTCACAGAGGTTTGCTTTGGCTCAATCATCATAACCTTCCTCTCAATCACCTGTGCAGTTCTTATGCATCAACTGGTGCACATGTCGATCCCGATAAAGTAAGGCGCATAGCGCGAAAGCAATGTCGTTCTGTTTCTCTGTATCTTTGAAGAAGTAGCAAACGGACATCAAGCTCATTCTCTAAGTCATCATCAGACGAACTTGTTGCATCTCGAATTTGCTGATATCCACATCAGAGCATTGCAGCAGCTCTGCCACCAAGACAGATACTGTAGGCCCTTTGAAACCCATTGGCGTATTCTCCATCCGTAGTGCTACTCTTCATTGTTTTCTTCCGATTTGCAACGCTTCGTTTAGCAACCAATAAAACATTGCCAGCGGCGAAAATATTAACCTTCTGGCATCACACAATGCTCGTGAATCCCGCATTCGACTTCCGTTCCGGGGTGGAACATTCCGAGTTTAGATTGGTAAGTATTCTTTGAGAATATGCCTCATAAGATGATTCTATAGAGAATAGCACCGAAGATACAAAATGATATTCGTAACTAGGGAGGACATATGTCAGAAAGAGGGTCGGAAAAGAAAAGAAAGACCTAGCGTCAGATGGACTAACCTTGCTTGGTCGTCACATCTGCCGAGTATGAATTCCGGCATGCTTCCATGCAGCCTACATGAATCGACTAGAGTCATCGGGAGCAGTGAATAGACATTTGACACACATCCCTCTTAGTCTAGGTCTCCTCAGGATCCTCAATCGGGCGACGGGGCCGACATATTGTTCTATTTCCTCATTCGGACTAGCAATGAGAGCGAGAGTGAAATTCGACAAATGCGACCCATCGCAATTTCCTACATCTCGTATAGAGGAGTGAGTGTAACAGATGCTATGACCTATGACCTAATTAGGCCATCAGACTAGAGAGTACTCCGGAGTACGGAGTACAATGAGCATCAAATGATCCGGCTGGCGCAATTGTCAATACCTGTACGGAGTAACGGACAGTGTGACGATCTTATACTGGCCCGCAATGTCACGAGAAACAGCCCGAAACGAAAGTTTCCGAGTAACCCCGGCTAAACTACGGAATATCGATCACTTATATTCATCCGGATAGCATATTCCGGAAACCGCAGCTGGCCGCACGAACCCGGAATCATTCGCTCGCATCCTGAAGACAATGCACACCGCTTACTCCCTACCTGCTAGTATTTGCCCTTACTCAGTTGCCATTCCAACAACCGTGCATTCCAATGGCGCGAGAGAAAAACCCCTTCGGGCATGGTCCGGAATAAACTCTCCAGCTCAGACGAAAATCCCTGCCAATTCGCGGAGCTTCCGAGAGACAAGCCGACCATGCGTCCACAAAATTCGTCTGGAATTCCCGAATACTGCAAGTGCAGGTCGGTAAGTGCCCAATCCTGATGTCACTGACCCTGCTGTGACCCGGCACGGTCAGGTCCGGGTCGATAGTGTACTCCATCGTAGCATATTCAGATTGAATCCCCATACGACCGTGCCGTCAACCCCGCGGTGGACCGGAATAAGACGCGGGGAACGACCCACCCCGAAGTGGCCCAAGCCGGGGGGGATGTGGAGTGAAAGAGTGTGAGTGATTTACGAATTCCCCGGTTGAATGGTTATGTGCAGGGTATAAAGACCCCCAGGTCGGCCCGACTTTGCATATTGTGTTCCATCCGTCCTGCTACCCCTCCGAGTCAAGAATTTATTTTTCGCCATGTCCGACGACAAATCGCCGATTCAGCCCGACAATGGCGCCCTCGAGAAGGGAGAGGCCGTCCATGAGGACGTCGTCAAGGATCCCGTCCAAATGGCGGCATTAACACCGGAGGAATTGGTTTTGGAGAAGAAGCTGGTGCGCCGGATCGATATTTTGATTATGCCATTGATTATTTTGGTATATCTTATGAACTACATTGATCGGTAAGTCACTACCCGAAGAGATGCCGCAGGCTCTCACTAACAACAATTGACTCTAGTAACAACTATGCCGCGGCCAAGCTCCAAGGTCTCGAACAAGACCTTCACCTCAATGACCAGCAATACCAGACTGGTCTCTCGATTCTATTCGTGGGTTACATTCTCATGATGACGTGAGTATTTCCGGTCACCTGCATTCGGAAATGCATCCTCTAACAGAACCTGAAACAGACCGTCCAACTTGTTGCTGAATTACGTCGGACACCCATCGCTCTACCTCGGATTCTTCGTTTGTGCTTGGGGTCTCGTGTCGGCTCTGACCAGCCAGGTCAAGGGCTATGGCGGCATCGTCGCTTGCCGTTTCATCATGGGTTTCGTCGGTTAGTATCCTGCTCCCGCATGAGTATCTATTTTTCTCTTTACTAACAAATATTCTCCATGCAGAGGCCCCCTTCTTCTCCGGAGTCCTCTTCTACCTCTCGAAATGGTATACCAAGAAAGAGCTCGGTCTCCGGATGAGTATCTTCTACTCCGGTTCCTTGCTGAGCGGTGCATTCGGAAACCTGATCGCAGCGGGTATCCTGAATGGTATGGACGGTAAGCGCGGTATCACAGCATGGCAATGGCTCTACATCATCGAAGGTGCTATCACCGTTGCCATTGGCCTTGTCATCTGCGTGGTCCTCCCCGACTTCCCCGAAAACTGGAAGGTGCTCTCTGAGGAGATGAGAAGTGTCGCTGCCCGCCGGTTAGCAGTGGACGCAGCCGAAGTAGATGTCGACGAGAGCGGCGGCAAGGGCCAAATCCAGGGTCTCAAGCAGGCCATGTGTGACATCAAAACCTACATCCTGGCCATCGCCTTCCACTGTATCGTCGGTGCAAGTGGTTTCCAGAACTACTTCCCCAGTCTCACTCAACAACTCGGCTATGACCAGATGATTTCGCTCTTGTTGGTCGCGCCGCCATACATCTTCATGGTCTTCTACTCCATGGCCCACTCCCACTTTTCCGACCGCTTCAACAACCGTTTCTGGTTCTTCGTCTACCCCATCCCCATCACCATCGTGGGCTATGCCCTCTACATGGAAACGGAATCCTTCGGCTCCCGCTACGCGTCTTTCTTCCTCATGATCTTCGTCTTCACCCAATTCGGAACCTTCTTCTCCTGGATCGCTAACGCCATCCCCCGTCCGCCCGCTAAGCGTGCCGCCGCATACGGTTTCATCAACGCCATCGGTAACTCCGCCAGTATCTGGACCCCCTACACGTACCGTCAGCAGGACGAGCCCGAATACAAGCCCGCGATGGGTATTTGCATTGCGCTGCAGGTTCTCGGCGGGATTATGGCCATCGGCCTCGACCAGTACACGCGTCATCAGAACAGACAGCTTGCAAGAATGGAGGATATGGAGGTTGAGCTGTCGGGCAGGGACCAGCGAAAGTTGGAGAAGACGGCGCAGATGAATAATATTGGACTTGAGCAGGCAAGACAGTTGCAAAGGGGTTTCAGGTTTATGCTGTAAAAACACTTGTCTTGTTTTTGTTTTGTCTGGTCTATTGGCGATTTGAATGATACCGGTCTATTCCATATTTGGATAGATAGATGATGAATGATGAATGATACCTTTCTATAATATGAGTCCAAGTATGACTATTCTCATGTCTTCTAGGGCTGTCCTCAAAACAGATCGCTGTCAGTCTCGATCTCAACACAGCCTCACGGCCGAAAACCACCTGAATTGAACATCATCCCCAAACTTGGATTTTTTTTTTTTTTTTTTTTTTTTCTTTACAAAATTCCACCATCCTTTCTCTATCCTATCTATTTTATTTCTTTAGACTCCCTCTTAAGCCCAATATTGACCCGGGGCAAATCTCCTCGGGTATCGCTGCGTTGGTCGAAAAAGGCTACCTAACCCCCGACGCTATCCTCAACACCCTCACTCGGAAAATAAAAGATTACGGCCTTTTTAGGAACAATTCAGAACTCCCACACCTTTGCGACATATTCGACTCCCTCTGCACAACCGAAAATGACACAGAACTACTCATTCAATCTGCCTTCATCTCATTCCTGCAGAACACAGGACTCCTACCACCATCCATGACGAAAGCGGGAGCTTTGATATATCACAGCCTTCTCTATATTTCCCAAGCGCTATTTTACAACTCCACGTCTAAATTCCTGACATTCAACGACCTCCTCAGAGCACTTGCCTGGACGGACTCTGAACGCTGCGAACCCATCTTCGAAGAAGGTCCTGACACTTGATCCAGAGCACCAGCTGACGCCCGCCGCCTCATCTTCCAAAGTCTAGCCACAACACGCTATGGCAAGAAATTACCATTCAACGCGGAATACGCGTTCGCAAAGACTACATTCGATGAAGATGGTGATAAGATGTACCATGATTTGCTTGATGTGTTGTATAATGTCGCAAAGCCGGAGCAGATTGGAAGGGGTGGGCCTCCGAGGGATGGGTTTCAGGGGTTTGCTAAGGAGCTTCAGATTCGGTTAATTGGAGGGAATGGGAAGCTAAAGCGTCTTCATCATCTAAGTATTCCGCAGGATGAGTTTCGGGATCTTGTGAAACTGCGTTTGGTGACGCATTTCGGGGGACGGCCTAACGATCAGATCCAGCAGGATGGGGATTTGGATCGTGTTGCGGATTGCATCGTTAGAGCATTTGCTCAGGATCCTAATCTGGGCATTACCTGGGAGATGTTCGACCAGGCTAGTAAGACAATGGCATGTCCCGGTAAACCCACTCGCGTGATGAAGAGAGGGGCTGAATTGAACAGCCGGATTTCCTCGCTAGTTATCACCGTCTTTTATCATGCCTTTACAAGCCCGACGAGAAGGATATCAAGCACCGGTTGCCCAAACCAGGCCACATCGCCACGCTTCCCATTTTCGCCCAATTAGGGATACTTCTCTGGGAGACAGTGAGCTTTGCGCACGTCCAGCTGCACAAATCCTACATCGTTCTCAAGAATACATCGTCAATCAACACCGCTACTCTCGGAAAATAAATGACCGAGGTTCCCAGACGAGGACCCGGTGATCATCCTTTTAATTTCCGGAAAGCTCGCCCGGACGAACGAAAAGGCGATTTTCGGATATCATCTCCCGTGGTCCAAATCCGAGGATTCTCCGTTCCTATTCCAACTCGGTCCCGTCCATTATGTCTTCAAGGGCAGTAATGCCGGTCGACTGGGATGGACAGTCGATGGAGATGAAAATTTTGTCTTCGGGAAGAGAGCGAGTGGGGTTACGTTTGTGCTGGAGAGGGATCTTAAGCGAATGAAGGTCTCTCATCATGTCTCTGGGGATGGGGTGTACAGTGCTACAGCTTGGAGAGGAGATTGGGAGGCAGATGTACAGAGGATATTGAGATGTGGATTGAGGTGTTATCGGATCATAACGACTCTTGTTCGTCGTATGTATTTTTTTGGGGGTTCATTTGCTCGCCAGGAAAAGTGTGGCAACGAGGCATCGACATGCACTTTGGAGCCTAGTCATCTCATATCATTCTTATATCATGTTTCCCTTGCTGCCTTGATGCAGCCTAGACTTATTAAATGAAACACGCTACCCACGCTGGCACCTCCCAATTCACGTCTCCACATCTAAAGAATACGAAGAAAAACGGCAGCATTCAACGCTAATCAAACACCCCGAGAGGAAGCCTCTCCACCCCGGGACTCTAGTACTCGGACCCCAAACACTCTCCTGAGCAAGAGGAATGGCCCCCAAGTCCAATGCCCTTGCATAAAGTCATTAGACGCTATGACTTACCATACTTCAGGAATTCTCATAAGAACGAGAAGTTGTTGAAACACTATCAGAATATGGCCCAGCGTGAGGCCCGGATGCAATGGATTTTCAAACATACAGCTGACTACGAGAAGATGTGGGAGTCGAACCCTGAACTCCCTCGTAAGTATTCGATACCTTTCCGTTTTTCCTTCTCTATTGGTGTCGGGATCTGGCTAATCTGTTTAGACGTTGCTTATGAGACTGCCCAGCAGTATCAGGCGTTGCTTGATGTGTTGGTGTACGTTGGTAAGTCTGCGGATTTTGATGCTGATGGGTCTGATGAGTCTGATGAAGAGCACGAATGGTATGGGCGATTATAGTGTCCGCGAGAAAGCGAAGGGAGACAACCCACGTTAGGGTAATAATGGATACACATTGAATATTCTCTGAGGATTACATGGATACTTCATAGACAGACAAGTTAACGCGTAGTATCATACGGCTTATACATAGTAATAAGAATCAAGAATCAATCGGTGGGAGGAGGCTCGAAAGTCATCCAAGAAAGCTTTCCTCGCTCAAGTGTGAGAAAATCGAAGACTGGAATACTTGAAACAGTAACGCATTTTGATATGGCAGTCACCGTCAGAGGACTCTGTCTAGATCTAGATCTATTCTTGGCTACGCCAGTTAATCTCCACGAGTCTAACCCTATCCCCCGCAACCACAGCGCTGTTGCTAGAAACTGGGATGTCTTGGTCAAATGCCCTCTCACACCGGGGCGCTCGATGTGAAAATCGCTATTGGCGATGCAGACGCCCGGAAATTGCGTTACCTATGGGACGAGGGAACCGGCGTCTGCACCAGTTGGTGGGTTTCTATCGCTCAGGAGCTTGGCCGGAAAGGGGGTGCATGGCAATATGGCAGAGGCGTACTCTAAGTTTGCGAGATGATTGTATAACGCAATCAACCAATTTGCGGATGACCAAGGCTATCCTGTACTCTCCCAGTCAGCATCGAGGCTAATGGTGCTATTAGCACGACAATTGCCTGCGAGCCACTTCAATTCGTGATCTCAGCCAACTCAAAGCTCAGCTTGCTTCGACCCTGGAGGCTCCCCTGGACAATAACCCTATATTTGCGGCCCAAGAAGAGCAACAGAAGAAGGTCGCTGCTATTTGGATAGCCGAGGTGAATGAGTATAACCAGCACTTAGCCTGGTGTGATCTTGGGTTTATTGGATAGCAGCGCCGGGACGGGGAAATTGGAGGGTCACGTCGAATTGAAGTTCAACGGGGAGACCTCGTGGCATGGTCTATCCTGCCACCACGTTGTAAACCGACCCCAAACAGATGAGAGAGAATCAAACTGGATTCGATCTGTGGGAGAAAGTCAATGGGACTTCGTTCTTTATTACTGCCGTGCAGCACAAGGCTCTTGTCGAGGAACAGACCTTTGCGGAAGCGCTGGGGCAGACTTGTGACGGCTGCGCTGTTGCGCCGGAGCTCTTGTGTCATCTGCAGGAGTACTGGAATGGAACCGCTATCGTTTCGAACTACCCTACCGCGAATGATCCTAAGGGACGCAGTGGTGTGGATATCAACTCTGTTCTCACGGCTATTAACACCTTCGATCCGGCTGCGGGGTGCGATGATGATGTTACCTTCCAGCCGTGCTCTGCGCGCGCGCTGTCGAATCATAAGGTTCTCGTTGATAGCTTCCGGGCTATCTATGATGTTAACCAGGGTAGGACTGCTGGACAGGCGGCTGCTGTGGGGAGATACCCGGAAGACGTTTTCATGGGTGGGAGCCCTTGGTACGTTCATATCTGTCCCAGTTGAACTTTTTGGCTAACAAGAACAGGTACCTAGCAAACCCTCGCATCCGCAGAGATGCCCTACGACGCCCTCCACCAATGGGACCACCAGCACACTATCCACATCACAAACCTCTCCCTCCCATTCTTCATGGACCTCCTCCCCGGTATCAAGACAGGCGTGTACCCCAACGCAACCCCGACCTACCAGAAGATCACCAACGCGGTGCGCAGCTACGCAGATAGTTTCATTTCCGTAGTGCAGGAGTACACTCCTGCTAACGGAGGACTGCCGGAGGAGTATAACCGCGACACGGGGGTCCAGGTTTCTGCTCCGGATCTTACCTGGTCGTACGCGGCGTTTTTGACTGCTGTTGCTAGACGCGATGGGTCGGTGCCGCCATCTTGGGGATCGTCTGCGGCCCTGAAGGTTCCTGGGAAGTGTACTAGTGCCAGTGTGGAGGGAAGCTATGCGGCTGCGAAGCTTTCGTGGTAATCAATGTCATAGACTTCGATATACTGAAGGAGTATACAGAGTATGCAGTCAACAATCAATCGATTAAATTACACCTGACCAGCAAAGAAAAATCGTACAGTAACGAAAACGCGATTAAATATAAAACAGGGTATCTATAGCTTAGAGCTTGGCCTTGCCCTGCGCCTTCTTAAGCACAGGCTCCATCTTGGTCGCCTTCATGATATTCCCGCGGATCTTCAACTTGCCGCCCATGAACAACCGCTGCGCGTTCGCCTTGCCGGTGACCAAGTCCTGGAAGTCTTTGTCGGAGAGGTTCAATGTGACTGTATTATCCATTAGCATCTTTCCCAAATAACCCCATGTATATATTGAGGGGGTGTACCATCAGCCTTCCCCCCAGCCGGAGCGGACCCCTTAGCGACAACACCCTTCTCCTTGAGATCGAGGTGCCAAGCCTCCTCCTTTCCTTCGGCGTTCTTGATGTTGAACGCGACGACAGCCTTGGCCTTGGAGATGGCGTCCTTGCGCTCGTTTTCGTCGGCTTGGAGGGTCGCGTTGATTACGTCGAAGGCGGCGGAGGAGGGGAATGCGTCTGTTGCGGTTGTTCGTTAGTGATCGGGTCAGATAGAATGGGGAGGGAGAGGGCGTACCGTTCTTGAGAGTCATGGTGGCGGTTTGTTTTGCTGAGTTGTTTGGTAATAGTTGGATAGATGAGAGTGAGATGGTGGTAGGTGAGCTGAGTTATATATGGACACGAAAGTTGTCCGTTGAGCCTCGGCACGGGGGGCGCGGTTCACATGCCGAGTCGGACTTGTGATCTCATCGTTCAGAATTCCCCGGACAATTGCACTCTATGAATTGAATGATCGCTCCCCAAAGAATGTAGAATAGCCAATTTACTTGATTCTACGGATACTAAATGCTCAGCTGGTTACTACAGGCCATTCCGAGTACACCGGATAGCACATACAACACAGAGTCAACCTCCCAACAACCAACTCGAAATTGCGAGAACCCGATCTGCAGCTCCATATCTTTTCCCATTAAACGCCCGTCCGCGGCTCTGCACATTGGTCCGGACTCGCTCGTTTATCCCGTTTGGGTATTCAATTCGCGCCACAGTCCAGAATCCACTCTACTCCGGGATCATCGTTGCTTGTGCGCTATGCTATGCTCGGGGTCTGTATGACATCCGGCGGCCTTTCATATGACCGGGTATGGTTATCCTAGGTGATTGTCCGGGGTATTCTGAGTATCGCGTGTTGCTCACATGATAGCACGTGATGATCTGGGGAAGTTTCTGAAATGGGGATCGGGGGCCGGAGGTCCGGAGGAGTCGATTATCCGCGACTAGCGAGGTCGTATACGGAGAGATCCAGTTTTAACGAGAGAAGTGTATTGCCTATTAACGCGTATACCCACACGCAGCTGATTGAGTGCTTGAGTGCTTGTCTATCTAAATGTGCGCTCACGCTGGCCTATATCATCGGACCGGCGGAACTAATCGGTCCGACATTATTCCTTATCAGTTTCTTTTGGAATGATGAGACTCTGCTTGGCAAACAGTCTTGATATTGCTACTAAATTAATCCCTTGAGATACAATGTGATATCAATTCCGAACCCATTCACTCTCGAGCTACATCAACTCTCAAAGTAAGCTCATAGTTTAAACCAAGCAACCGTATCAGCAAACGTCGCCCGATTATCCCCCGCCCTAACAACCCCCTCCCCATCCCTAACAGCCATCCACTCCGTCCCAATCGTACTCAACGCATAAACCACCAACCCGCTCGTCTCCCCCTCAATACTAAACACCTCACTCTGACAAACCTGCTCATTATCATTCGCAGAGCACGTGGTATCGTAGTTATTAAAGAAACTGTACAGTCCAGCACCGTAGATGACCGTGTCGCGCGTGTTGAGGAGGCGCAGGCCCAGAGAGTTGCAGTTTCCGGTGAGGCAGTGGGCGAAGTCTGGGTCGTTGAGGGTGGGGTTGGGTTTGTAGGGGCTGTGGGGGGCGTCGGGGTTGGGTTGGTAGTAGGGGGATTCGGTTTGGATGAAGCCGATGAAGACGGAGTCGGTGTCTGTTAGTTGGTATTGGTAGAGGGAGTGGTGTTCTGAGGAGGTTCCGTATCTATGCTGGTTAGTATCGTAGGAAGAGGATATGGAGGGTTGGGAGACTTACAACCAAACATTCTTGCCCTCGACTAACAGGCCACGTCCTGTGTACACGGAAACCCGCGTGTCATGCGGGTCATCAAGGTCGTGATCCGCCGTCCAGAACCAGTTATTCTCCAGGTAGACATTCCTCGCCGACTTCGTGATATGCATCGACATATACGCAGCCTGACACTCAGTCGATACCTGCGATATAGTTGGGCAATCCGGAACCTGCAGCTGAGATCCGGCAAATCCTCCAATGCGCGTGTGCACTTCCCACATGCCTGATCCTAGCTCTGCATCAAGGTTCCATTCGATAAGAGTGGCGCCTGCGGTCGAACCCTGCGTGCTGACGATCATGTCGGACCATTCGAAGAAGCCCGTGTCTCCTGGTTGTCCAATCTGGATGACAGGGACGGGCTTGTTGATGTCGGTCCAGGGACCGCCGCTTGCCATGATCACGGGCAGGGCCTCGCCGACGATGCGGGTGCCTGGCGGGAATTGGAGGGTGTTGGTGACTTTGTAGACGCCTTGGTCGAAGAAGACGATTTTGTTCTCGCGTCGTGCGTTGTCGATAACTGATTGCAGTGCTTTGGTATCATCCGTCGAGCCATCTCCCTTTGCACCACCTTCTCGCACGCTCACGAAGGATGATACTGGCAGTTTCTCGTACTGCGGCTTGGATTTGATGTAGTACCTGTTCGAGTCCTTGGCAAGTAGACCGCGAGGCCGGTCACCAGGCGCCATGGCACTCTGGAAGTTCTTTGGTCCGGACGGCGTGTAGCTGTGACCTTGGCCCCAAGCAGTGATAGTCTTAGACCCGCCCTCTAGAACGGTCTTGTTCGAGGCTTGCACTGCAACAGGGGTGTTCTCAAGAGCGACGTTTTCCAGAATCAAGCTGCCGTTGCTCCAAGGAGACTCTTGCCAAACAGTATCCACAAACACATGGGAGTTCTTAATGTCGCTGTCAATAACAGTGACGGAGCCCACAGTCTGGGAACCAGGACCGCCGTTTACCATGGAGATTGCCGTGCCACAGTTGTTCAGCTCGACGCCCTGGTATGTCCAGCCCCAGTTCCAGATCTGGGAGATACAAGTAGCGGAGTCGGAGATCCGCAGTTTGCGGGTTGTGTACTGTTGGCTTCCGATGTTTGCTCCGTAGAGGCCTCCGATGATTTCGATGTCATCCAATACAGTTCCAGAACCTGACAAAGTTAGCTTCCTGCCGCTATCTTCATTACACCACGGTAACATACCATTCTCAATAAAAAGGCCTTGGTGTTGTGAGCCTGATGCAGAGCTCATCACAATCTTAATATTGTAAAGACTGCTCGCCTGCCCAGTTGGCCAATGGATTCCCGTAGCTCCTTTATTCGGAGAGATATCGGTCAAATCTATAGCAAAGTTGCGAATCTGCCGGAAAAACACATTGGTAGACGTCCAGCCTTGGTTCCCGTCGTCCTGGTACACATCGCCATCGATCACACCAAGTCCTTCAAACGTGGAAGTTGCCTTGATAACAGGACGTGCATTCGGGTTTCCAACGAGTTGAGTGAAGTAGTAATCAACAATCGGCCTGGAAACGACATAGGTGCCTTCTGGAAAATACACAATTGCAGGAGTGGTAGTAGAGGTTCGACGGCTTTCTGGAGAGGCACGGTTGCCATCGCTGATGGCTCGATTGATTGCTTCGGTATCGTCGCTCTGGCCATCACCTGTTTCAGTCAGTTATGCTTCATCAGTACATGAAAGCAAGACATTCCTTTGGCTCCGTAGTCTTTTACATTGCGAAACACTTTATATCCCGACGGGTCTTGGTTGAATGCCGCAATCCCTTGATGTTTGATATCTGCCAGCCAGTACGATGCGTCACTTGGAGCTGCGACTGGGGTTGTCTCTGGGGCTTGGGCAATAACAGTTTCCGAAGGCTTCTGAGGCAACTGCGTACTGAGGCCAGTAAGCAGCAACCAGGTCGTAGCAAAAAAGGTACCGCGCATCTTGTCGATATACTCAATAGGGAACGCGTCCGTAGACTTGAAGGATTGAAGCAGGTCATTTTCCTGGGGATTTTCGGCTTCTTATATCTACTTTGTTTTCATCCCCGTCACTCAGAAAAAGCATATAGAAATAACATATGCACCGAGACGCGTCAAAGAATCTCTAGTCACAATTGAGACTGTTTTCTCCGGCAGCAGTGTTCCCATCAATTGAACTTCCAGGCATGACGAAGCATGAAGGTCCAATAGAAAACAAGGCATTGCCGCGCACCTGCATGGGAATCTTGGAGGCGCATTGACATCCGGCAGTCTGCCTCCCATTCCAAGTAGACATCCTAGACACTGACGTCGTTTGGTAACCACCAGATTGTCGTGAAGATGTCATCGACTAGAGGCTAGAATCGGCATACTTGATCGCTGCCAAGGAATAGAAAACCTGGAGATATAAGTCCCCGATTCTGAGAGAAACATGGCCAATTGCCATTTAGACCAACCATCCAGGGCTGAACGTTGCACGGGTATATAGAGGCGCCTCAGCAGAGCATTAAGCCGGTCTCCTAGCACGCGCATGTTGGACAAGGATGACCAAGCCAAATGACCCGCAGATATAAGGCTTTCTCCCGTCCTACAATTTCTCCGGTTGGTTCTTGGCCTGTTAATCCGTAGGAAATTTTCTTGCCGCGACAATGTTGAGATCCGTTGTAGTACCCGCGTCTGGGGCCTTTCTTTGGCTAAACCGCGGTAGTCTGTCATATGATTGTCTGATTATATATTTTCAGATCGAGGGGAGATTCAACATCTTCTGAAGTGACGCTAGATCTCATCAGCCAGTTTGACTCTGCATGTCATTCGGATATATATCCCGCGGTTGTCCACACAAAACAGTAGACACACCTTTTGCAGGCCATTCTGAGTTTCATTCTGAGACTTACACCTACCTTAATGTCTGTACCTGCATCAGTACCTTAGACATTGACACCCTTGCCTTTTGCGATCCCGATTAAGAAACGTGGGAGATGTCAGTGTCTGTAGGCTGTAAGGCTGCTCGCCATGGAAACAGGCATGTGTAATCGCGATACATAAATTACACTCTAGACCCCGAACTACTTGACCATTTGCTACCACAAGACCATGATAAACAGAGTCAAGCAAACAAAACAGAGTATTGTATCTCATTCACTGTATTATTTTCACTATAATCCCATTATCCAGTGGTAAAGCATTCACTGTCTGTTGTCCGCCAAGACTATCTCGCGTATCCACGTGACCGTAATATTACCTGCACCGCTAAAAAAGAAAGGAAAAAACTGTCGCGAGCCGCATATCTGCAAAAAAAGTGTCCCGAGCAACTCCCACTCAACAACTTCAGCTCATCCCCTCGACCTCCTCCTTCTTGCTCCCTCCATTTTCTATCACACAGAGGGCTTTATTAAACCAAGAAGACGCGCCTGTATTTATTATCCTTTCGAAAAGCGCGCGCTTCAGCTTTGTCTTTATAACTTCTCACCCCCCCCCCCCCGGTTTATCCTCGCGACGGACCAACATTCCGTGGTGAACACCTGCGCGTGTCCCTCACTTCGCACCTTATTTACGATCTAAACACGCATAATCTCGATATCAGGGACCGAGAGCACCGATTCTAATCATCGAGGTTACCCTATTTTGTTGACACAGCTCGCCCACGCACGTTGCCACTCCGTCGTCTACCGCCTACGAGCTTGCGATTTGTCGATACGTGGTTGTTTTTGTGTGTGGACAATACCCTCAGTCTGAAAAAACGACAAGGAGGATTTTATCGAATCGTTGCTGTGCATAAGAGACGCGTGATTCGCAACTACCCAATCGAAGCTATCACAAGGGGTTGAAGACCGCTGTTGTCTGTCACTTCCATTAGGATTCGAGACGGAGACATTGGTCTTGCTATTGTAGATGTCTAAACGCGGCAACGAGGGACCTCAGGGGGATAAGGATTCTCTCAACGAATTCCTAATGTCGAGTACACCGGAGGAGAAGCCCCAGCGGGCGAGCGCTGCGCAGTTGGCCAACAGAAAGTGAGTTAATACGGACCCTGCGAGTAGCCCCTTTTCTCCATTCGCTAGGGACAGCTCTAGCTGGATTGTGCTTTCCTTTGGTTCTCTGAGGATGATGCTAACATTCAAACAGAATTAGAGATGTTCGGAGGCGACGGCCAGGCACTGCCGCACCATCTCCCACACCACCACCACAACAACAACAACAACAACAACAACAACCTTTCAACAGCCCGTTCGGCTCCCTCAATCAGAACGCCAACCCGCCCGCTCCCACAAACGGGTTCTCATTTGGCCAGTCTCAGAGTTTCCCAGGCCCCGCTCCCACTACGAGTCAGCCCGGCACAAACGGAACATCATCGCCATTCTCTTTTGGTGGTGGAAGCGGCGGCCCTTCCTTTAATTTCGCCGCAGGGGCCACTACAACAGCAAGCAATCCATTTGCTACCGTGAGTACGGCCGCTCCGAGTCAACCAGCCGATGGCGGTAGCTTCGGAGGGTTCAAGGGAAACATCTTCAATCTCGCACCAGCAAGCCCGGCGCCTTCTGGTGGTCTCTTTGGTGCGACCTCTGGTCCTTCCGCCGGGGCCACGCCTGCTACTAGCGGTGCTGGTCTATTTGGACAAACAAGCGCTTCGAGTCCTGCGCCGACGCCCGCGGCTTCGACGAGTATCTTCGGCCAGTCAACCTCGGACAAGCCATCCATCTTCGGCCAATCTACAGGTTCTGCGGACGATTCGATGCAAACTTCTCCGGACGCCAAGAGCAGCACTGCATCGAAGCCGTCCATCTTTGGCAATGGAACTACTCCCGCACCACCTCCTACCTTTGGCGGTTTTGGCGGGGACAACCTATTCAGCAAGCCTGCAAGCTCTGCACCCAGTCCGTCGCCCACCAAGCCTCTCTTCGGCGCGAAACCAGACGAAAAATCTACTCCAGCAATACCATTCACCTTTGGGGCCAAGCCCGCAGAGCAGTCCGGCGTGGCGTCGCCCTCCATTTTCGGCGCGACCACTCAAACCAGCTCTGCAACGACCACCCCTACAACTGCACCTTCTCTATTTGGAGCCTCTACATCCCAGAACCCCTTCCAGTCCGGCAATCTCTTCTCAGGTGCCCCTGCGGCAACCGAAAAGCCACAAGAAGAGAAAAAGCCAAGCGACTCTGCTCCCAAGTCGCCGTTCCAGTTCACGCCGTCTGCCTCCACTGGACCTTCGTTGTTTTCCAAGAGCGAGACTGCACCAGCACCGGCTGCATCTGGTGGATCGTTCGGCCAGAACCCTAGTCTTGGTGCATCGCAGCCTCCATCCACAGGCAACATCTTCGCGCCTAAGCCACCGACTTCCACAGAAGAGAAAGCTCCCGCAGCCAACCCGTTCGGCGGTATTTTTGCGCCCAAGCCAGCTTCTGAAAGCAAACCGGAAGAGGGAAAGCAGCAACCTGCAGCCCAGCCCTCTTTTGGCGGCGGCCTCTTTTCTCCCAAGCCAAGCGAGCCGGCAGAACCTACCACCTCCACACCTTCTTTCTCGGCTTCTACGCCTGCTGCCGGTACGGCCAAGCCTCCAAGCGCTTTCCAACCGTCTACTTCTCTGTTCCAGCCACCTCCCGCCGCGGCTCCCAGGCCGGCCTCTCAGCGTCTCGAGACGATGCAGCCCAAGGGGCTTTCGGTTGACCTCAACAAGCATCTGCAAGATGACGTTGAGCTACTGAACCGGGTCCGCATCCTGAATGAGTCTTTCAAGCGCGAGATAACGAAACTTGATCCATCTAAAGATGACTTCGATCTTGTTATCCTGTACTATATGCGCGTTCGTGATACGATCGGGGCCCCTACTGGCGGGGAACATGCCCCTAAGCGCAAGACTCGGGATGAAGACGGTGATCAGGGTGTTCCAGCTCAGAAGAAGGCGAAACCTTTTGGCGAAGCCGCATCTTCGTCAGCGCCGCAGATGAATATTGCGCCGAGCTCCATCACCAGCACCTCCTCTAACCTGTTTGGTGCGAGTGAGATTGCTAAACCCAGCCCCAGTAAGAGGAAAGTGGACGATGAAGATGGCAGCGTCTCTGAGCCTCCCTCGGCAAAACGCTCACAGGGCGATTCTACTACCGCGAGCATCTTCGCCCAGACCTTCTCTAACTCCAAGTCGGCCGAGTCTGATAAGGAAGAGCCTTTCCAGTCGCCCGTTTCTTCTCCCTTCAAGCCGTCCACCCCTGAGTCTAAGAAGGTGGCTCCGGTTTCGACCACCCCGACCACATCTCCCGCAAAGACTCTCTTCCCCACCCCCGCTGCGTCGAATGAGCCTTCCGCTCCTACCTCGCTTTTCGGTCAGCCTTCATCCGCGTCGAAGCCCGCCTCCGAAGCACCAAATACCGATGCCGCTCCTGCAAATCCTTTTACACTGAAGCCCACGGAGAACAAGAGTGCAGAGCTAGCGGCTGCCCCGTCGTTCTCGATGCCAAAGTTCGGTGGTGGCGGTGGCACGAATTTCTTTGCGCAATTCAAGACCCAAGCGGAAAGCCACGCCGAGAAGGAGAAGGCCAAGCGGAAGGAAGAAGATTTTGACTCGGAAGAAGAAGACGAGGCTGAGTGGGAGCGCAAGGATGCTGAGAAGCAACGCAAGAAGCGGGAGGAGCTCGAAGCCCAATCGCAGAGGCGGGCTAAGTTCATTCCTGGACAGGGATTTTCCTTCGACGAGGATGGCAGCACAAACACACAAGACTCCAAGAAGTCCGATGAGACGAATGGTGTTTCCTTCGCTAGCTCTGCTACGTCGGTCTTTGACACAAAGAGTGAGACCGAGGAAAAACCCAGCAACATTTTTAGCCACTTGTCTGCTACTCCTACGGAGGTTGAGGAGAACGATGGCGATGTCACTGAGGAAGCGTCAGATAATGAGGATGAGGGCCCCGGGTCTAAGGCCGCCACTGTCAGCAAAGATGATGGGTCCAACGATAGCGAAGATGGCGACTTTGGTAAGGCTCTGAAGAAGTCCAAGGCCGCTGACAAGCCTGCCACGGCCACGGAAACCACCAGTGAGTCCACTCCAGCGAAACCCGCTGGCGGCAGCCTGTTTGGCAGTGTTCAGGACAAGGAAGGTGAGGCTACTCCGAAGAACCCATTTGGTTCGTTGTTCAGCACCCCGAAGCCGCAGGCTTCGTCAAGTGGAACTCCAAGCCTTTTCGCACCCACTACTTCTACTAGCGGCTCTACGAGTCTCTTCGGTGCGTCCACCAACGCCACCGGCGGAAGCCTGTTCGGCGCCTCGACAGTCGGTACCGGATCTCTCTTTGGTGCAGGCCAGAACGGTGTCAAGAATGACCAGACATGGAAGAAGGACTCCCCTATCAAGTTTGCATCGGACTCGAGCTCCACCTCGAAGCCGGATACTTCTTCGTCCGAAGCCCCGAAGCCATTCTCTACCCTGTTTGGGGCAGGTGGTGCGCCCAAGCCAACATCTGGTGATTCCAAACCGTCGCTTGGGTTTACATTCGGCGCTCCTTCAACTCAGACTTCTTCTATCTTCTCCTCTGCAGCTAATTCCGCCGCAACCAGCGCTGCTTCAACGCCAGGGACTTCTGATGCCGGAGCTGGCGAGTCCGGTGACGGCGAAGCAGCGGAAGCTCTGCCCCAGGTTAACCTGGCTCGCGGTGGCGCAGGCGAAGAGAACGAGGAGGTGCTCATGGAAACTCGCGCTCGTGGATTGAAGATGGCCAAGGAGGGATGGGACAGCCAGGGTGTTGGTTTCGTTAAGATCCTGAAGAACCGGGAAACTTCTCGCTCCCGTGTGGTCCTTCGCGCTGATCCTAGTGGCAAGGTGCTTCTGAATGCTTCGTTGATGAAGGCCATCAAGTACACTATCAACGGAACTGGTGTGCTCTTTGCTGTTCCCCAGCCTGATGGAAGTCTGGAACAGTGGGCTATCCGGACGAAGAAAGAGGACATTGGACGTCTTGGATCTACCATGGAAGAGGCCAAGGCTTAAGCCCGTTGCGTTTGTTTTTGAATACCTTATGGTGATACATCATGAATGCTCTTCATTCTAACGAGGACAGACGCGCGTTCCGACCTGTTCCTTTCTTTTCATCAACAACTTTCTTTCATCATTGTGACACATCCGTCGCCTCTTTTATTTTTCACGTGTAACCCTGACCATTGAGATACTTTTCTGGGCCATGTCTTCCTACGCTTCTTTGTCTAATCCGATCTTGGGTGCCTTTGAACGATCGCCTCGTTTCGTTTCTTTATTCCTATTCCTACCTCACCTTCTTGGACCGGCCGACTTCAACATCCTTCGAGACATACCCTACCCACTTCTGTCTTTGTATGTATTTACCTAGTTATGTTGCACATTGGCGCTTGCAGCATGTATGCTTTTTTGAGCATCGTCGTTTTTTGTTTTGTTGTTGTGTTGTGTAGTCGTCGTTGTCGTTGAGTTCAGAAAGGCGCAATTAGTTTAGCATAGCGATGTGGCATTTTTATTTCTTTGAGAATACATTCAGATTACTTGCTTCCAATGGTTCTTTCAAATAATTAACCGTAGATGGGATGTAGATGGGAACGAGCTATGGCGAATTCTCAAGGGGAATAAATAGTCAGCAAACATTCGAGGAGCGTATATCGAATCAAGTCCACTTGCAAAGCAGGTCTTCGGCTCTTTTTGGTATTGTAACGGACCACTACATGATACTTCAGAAACATAGTAAATCGTTGTTCGTGCAGTATTGGATCGTTTCCTAGGATCAACGGAAAGAGGCTAGTGATGATCTTCGTCTCGCCAAGGGCTGCATCGCATCGGCTTTCTCGACGAAGTCATCAAAGTATTTTCCGTGCAATCAACCAAGTACCTCGCCAGCATTGCCTTCGGTTCTTTCCAATTATCGAGTTTTGGCAGTATGTCCGAGTTCTAATTCCAATGTGCCGGGTATCCGTTGTCCATGAGCAATTGCTCAAAGTGTTTGTACTCGGATGAAAAAAGCCCTCGAGACCAGGTGAATAAGCATCCCAACTGTCGATGTTATAGAAGTAGCTATGAGCCCCTCACGCGGCTTCCAAACGACCCCTCCTGCAAGTTCAAGATACCGGTGAGGGTTTGTTGATAAGGCATGGTGGCAGTGATCTTGGGCTCTTTACTCAAGATTGCAAGTTCGGGATAGAGTGTGTCATAGTACTTGATTGTACTTGAGAGAAGAGTTTCTAAATGTGTATGCCATAGGGTCGCATCAAGCAAATTTGCTTGATTCATTGAGTACATCGTAGTGCGCTGGCGTGTCTGCCTTAGTCAATATGGTTCCATTACAGACGTTCATGTTATTATGAGGGCTGACACCATTGTGTTACCTCGAGAGGGCGAGGTCCTTCGTTTCAGGCATTCTAACCCACTTGCACTTGGCCGCGCAGGTTCATGGTTGGCGCACACTTTGTATGGTATGCGCATCCCACATGTTGGTCCGTCCATCCACGAAATCCAGGACTGCCTCGACATATGCATCCTAAGCTTAGCCGGACTTCAACTAGTCAAGCAGCGTGGTCATTACTTTCAAGGCTAAATGTCCAACACCAAGCTGTGCAGCGATGGAATATCGTGACGTGGATTTCTGTCGGCGTTGGACTGTTCACTGCTAACAGAGATGCTCTTGTGAAGAATGCAGCAGTCAGTCTTATATTGATTCCGTGAATCGTAATCAGCCATGCCTCTTGATCTTCCCAGTTATCGGGTAGCTTTTTGGCTTGTTCTCATTGCTTTGCCGAGGGGATTCGCAAACTCCTGGGAAAGCAGAGATTTGTTGGCGTGTCTGAATCTCGCCTACATCTGTCACTCTTCCCTTGGCAGGTTTTCTGAGAGGTCAAACCCAAAGGATATAAGCGATATACCGTCACGAAAAAGTCTAGTCAGCGGTACATATAATCCGCCGACACCATCCAGATGACTATATTATACGGGACTTCTTTCCCTCTTGCTTGAGATTGTATCCATAAAATACCCACTGTATCATTTTGTTTTCACAAAAAGTGTTCCCAAACGTCTCGACCTTACGTCCAATCGATTGAAAGGACGAGCCTGACGGCCGAGAACCTCGCCATCTTCGTTGATGGCTGTCATGGATTTCCCCGGGAATTTGGTGAATTCGTGACAAGCAGAATAAAATAATTCCAGCCATAATACTTCGGCGAAGACCGCGCTGGTATCTGGGTCAAGTCATGACTCCTTTCTTTTGCTTAATTCTCTATCACCCAGCAGCGCATCAATCAACTTGCTTACTCTCAACGGACGCGATGCGCTCCTCCAAGTGGTTCAACCTCGCAGGAATGACTCCAAATTCAGCTTTAGCATTAGTAGACGAGGAATGGATGTCGGCTTCGAGTATCTCGACACGGCTCTGATTGTCTAAGACGGCTTGATCAATCTTCTTCTCCAGGAAGCTGTGATCATAACGGCGTGACTGGTTTGTTGACATTGGGTCGTGTTGCCGGTTTTTCAAAGTCAAGGATTTAGATGCATTTCTATTAGTACGCGGTTTCAAAGGGCACAGAACGCTGTCATAACTCACACCTGCCACACGATGGGAACAGGTGATTCCCCAAAGGCACTCAGTTCTACGAATCCACCAAGTGTTCCCGACGTTGTCAAAATGTTTCGGACTAGAATATAGACACCAGAGCAGTTCGTCGCAGTCGTGATTTTCCATAAGAACCGGCGCCAAAGGTAATTATATCCAATCCTCTTTGAAGTAAGTTACTTGTTTTCCCTAAGAAATTGGCAAACTCCTGCCCTAACAGTCCGGAGTTGAATGGCTCTTCCTTGCTGGATTGGTGGATGCATCCACCGGCATGTCGGCGCTTTGCCTTCATTTGGTTAGTATACTGTGCTAACTGAAAGAACCAGGATTACGAACCTCGATAGATATCACCGGCAAGGTGTGCAGTGCCAATGCTGGCCTTCGCGAGTATAACCCCCCTGTCATTTTTGGTGTTTGGACGGCGACTGGTTGCATACAATTGAGCTCTAGCATGTCAATGATGGTATCCTTAGTTTTTCTTAATCCTTTCCCATGTACCTTTCACGTCATCAATCTAAAACCGTTGGTCGAAAGTCACAAGAGAACATACCCGACACTTACAAGGCAGGGCCCAACAGCATCAGCAGAGTTGTGGTCCTTCATCGGATTACATTTCAGGCAATAAACGCAGCCAGCCGTTCTATACTGGTAGGCGTAAGCCGCTTCTGGGTATTGCTGGGTGTAGCCAAGCAAAATTGTCGACTTGAAAGAGTTCTAGGTACGATGATTCCGTGTTGTCTAGGGCATTTGAGGCCTGGTCAGGCAGTTGGATATTCAATCTGCTGACACCATCCGAAGACAGAGAATTTGGCAGGGAACTCTTATATTTGCCCAGCGTTCACTTATCAAATTCTTTTTTCTCCACATAAAGTGTTTTTTTAAGTCACAAGTCATCCGATGAGAGCGATGAGCCTCCGGGTAGGAATGTGGAAATTCTCTTTGCTGGTCGTCATCTCCTTTCCCAAGGAGTTGACGAACTTTATCATAAGACAAAGATAGTCGTACCAAGTAACTCGGTAAGACCAGACTATGACTCTGTCACCATGTCTGGACATGCTATTTTCCAAAGTGTCAAAAGTATACAGTCTGCGGTCTCTTTATCTCTCTCTCTCTCTCTCTCTCTCTTTTTTTTTTTTTTTTTTTTCAGTTTGCAGAAAGCGATGCTGTATAGTCATGGCATCCATTTGGACCAGACTTTACCAGGGCAATGGGTTGCGACTCGGAGACTGGGTACAATGGCCCGGGACGAGTCTTGCTCGAAGATATTGCGTTTGCTAAGATTTAGTAGTTTGTTTAGCTTTCTACGGCGAAGTTATTTTGCTGGTATTCACTTTATGAATGATATTGTCCCTCACGAAAAATAGTGGATGTAAAGCCCTAAAAGGACTTCTCCCCATAAAGACCTACAATCCTAGACTGCTCAAATACCGGAAAACACCAATCAAGGACCTGACCAGTTCCCGACGGTCCTCACGCTTGAATGTATCAAACGGAACCGAACGGTACAGAGGCAAGGGCTCAGTGACGATCCGGTGTTCCACAAGATTGCGCATATAGCTCTGAGACGCTCGTAGCCTGCTAACGAAGACCTGAGATTCGTCCACGAAAATTGCAAACCCGTCATAATGGGTTAGTCATTGATTCCGTGAGTAGTTAGGCAATTGTTGCTGCGAGGAGGGCGCCAGGGACTTCGTGCCATGGCATATTTGGTAGGCGGGACTTGTCGACAACCTGGTTGGCGCGAAGCATGATTAGAAGAATCCTCAAGAAAGAAGAGGCACTGCTTTGCATACCAATAGGACCATAAGTGGGACGCTCTGGACTGTGTTCGTATCATTCATGCGCCTCACAACCATCCTGTAGCCCGGCACTTTGGCCCAGAACCTCAATTTGGGGGTGTCGATGACACTTATAAACCGCGGAACTACAATATGTCTACTGGAGAGCTTATAGCAAAGAAGCAATATGGGTATCAAGATTCTTTCGACCAAATGCCCTGGGAAAATGTCCACTCGGACAAGATCTGTGCATTTCAAATTTTCTTGTCAATGGTATCTAGTACATCCATCCGAACGAGAAATCCGCCAGACCCGGACCGGCCACAACAAACCCCATTATTCAAGTCCAGGAACAAGAACAGGAAGAAAAACTTTTTTCATGTCCATTCATTGTCAATTAATTTACTCGTCGTCGACAACGGTGGTGTGGAGACCCTTGGGCTCCTTGACGTTGACGGCCTGGACGTAAGAGTAGAGCTTCTCCTTGGCGCCCTCCTCGTCGTTACGCTTACGCGAGATGCGGACACGGAGACGGAAGGGGACACCCTTGATACCGCACTCCCAGACCTTCTTGTTGAGCTGGGGGTCAAGACGGACGTCCTTGGTGCCCTGTAGAGAGTAGAGCAGTTAGTTATCGGCCTCCCCGGCAGAAAGTGAAGGGAAAAGACTTACCATGGAGTGCTCAGCGAAGGTGCGGATCTCCTTGATAGCGCGGGGAGCGCGCTTCTTGAAGGTAACACCGTGGCACTATAAGTCGCAAAAAAAGAGAAATCAGTCTTCCGCCCGAATGCCATGAATACGTATTCTGCGATCGGCCATAGAGGTGGACTTCATAAAACTAATTCTTCTTTTTTTGTTGCGCATCGCATCGCAGCCAGTTTCCTGGTCTGCTTTGCTTTGCATTATTTTCCCTCTCTGGTGTCATATGCCTTCCTCGAATTGGTATTCCCCTTCGGTTGTCCCAAAATCGAGCAGCTCTCCCAGGTGTGTTCTCCGTCCATACCTCCGGTATCGAGAAATTCGCAGGGTTTTGGTCGATTTCGCTAAACGATCGACAAATGTAGATAGGACTTCTTCAACGTACTCTCTTGTGCAGGTTGATGGTGTACTCGCGGGTGACAACGTCGGCAATGGCCGAGCGCTGCTTCTTCTGGGTCTGGACGTTGGACATTTCTGATGAAAATAAACTGTCAGCCTGAGCGACAAAGGATGAGAGGATAATATCTGTATACTGACTTAATGGGGTTGACGAGATTGTCGGCTGTCGTTGGCGAAGTGGTCAAATTTCGAGGATGGAAATTTCCGGATGATTTTTGATGTCGAAATTCAGTGTGGCTCGCTTATCCGCCCGGCTCCGCTGATTGGTGGACTGCACGTGATTGTTGTTTAATCACGTGACTATGCCGCCCTCGCTTAGGCTTAGGCTATGTACGGAGTAGTCTTTCTCGTAGACCTCACAATCAACCACACGTCTTTGGGTTATGAGCCCTTCTCAATTCTCCCATATTTGTGATTCGAACAATGGCGCGAGATCGCAGTCAACAAATGACCCCTTAGGGACTGCCGGGTTTGGCATCGACTCGCCATGGGCAACAACCCGATAGACATAGATAATACGCCTCTGTCTACGTATCGTACGGATCGGGATGACTTCGGAACAACAACGACACTGAAAACGGCAATGCCAACCATCGGGAACCCCGTGCTGAGTCTTAAATTTCCAAATCCGCAATCCGGATCGCAGATGAGCGCTTCGTGTTCCTCGCTTTGATTATTCATTCCCCGAGGCCGCAACGCCTCATACGCACGCCGGAATCATGCGCCGTCCTCGCCAGGTCCGTTTTCTACCTGCCCATGTCATCGGGCTTCTCCGAATCCTCGGTTTCAATCTGTATGGATATACATGACGAGCGAGCGGCTATCACCTCTGTTGAGGTGAAACATCTGGCGTATGGTGTGTTCCTACAACAGGGCGGATTGGATAATACATGTATTGGGAAATATCGATCGCGAAGACTAAAGACGTCCCTTTAGCAGGTTAGCCTGAAAATATGTTCTTGGGGTAGCCTGCAAAGGGGGCGTCTTTGTCTTCTCGATCCGTATCTCGCAATATATAGTATTTGGACCGTCTTATGGGCGTTGAAGCGGATCTGTTACCATACAAGTGGGGGGCCACCATGTCGAACGAGCCGACGCGTTCAATCGGTTGTTTTACCTCACGCTTCGGATCGATTCGAATGGGATTTGAGCACTAAGCAGTTGGGGATCTCATGAGTGCGCATGTAATACCTGCTCTGGATTATTGATCATGTAATCTGCGAGGTCAGATGATATTGTTGCGCCTGTTGCAACCGTAGTCTCATCTCATTTCTCGGCGTACATGATCAACAATTCAAGCATATCCTACATTACCGTGCTGGCAGAGCATGTGCGAGGAAGACTGTTTGTATCAGTGCTTAGGTTTAGAGACAAATCAGAGTCCTTTTCAATGTCGATACTACTATGCTCATTTAGTTCCGAACCTAATACCATCCTGACCGAAGTACCCATAACCATGCATCATTCGAGAAGCTCACGGGAAAGAGCAAGATTGCGCTCGAACCAATTACCATGCCATGCTATCTTTGCTATATAACCAGTGGACCATTCTTCTTCGGTTCGCTAGTCCAAATTCGTCCCGCTGGGTTTAAATAAACGCAATTCTCGCACTTGGGTTGATAATCAGCCCGTTTTGGATCCACGTTGTACGATGTTCCAACCTGATTCTAGGCTTGTATTTCCGTCCGAGCTTCTCTGATATATAGTTCACTCAACTCATGCAGTATCTCGACTGTCCGCAGCCTATTGATGAGAAGTTGAATGGGCATCTCGCGCGTAGAGGCTGTTGGTACATTGTTTTTGTTTTCGTGGCTCAGTTTGTTCTGTTCGAAGCCTGTTGCTAAATGGACATTGACATCGCGGCATGATCGCTTGGTTGCTTCCAATATGGTTCCTACAGTGCAAGCTTCGCTGCCTTTATGGATGCCTTTGACGATCATATTCCGGTAATGAGATGTTTATCTCTGGCTTTTGAAGCTTAGCTTTTGTATTTAGGTTTTCTCAAAGTGAATTAACCAGCGATCACTCCAGGGGCGGGTTTCTTTGTACGATCGAGAGGTTGTTGAGCCACTTGAGCTACCTCGAGCGTACATCCTGTCTGTCTAGAGAACAGACGACTTTGCCTGTTCAATCAGATTACCTTAAGGAGAGCACTGGATCAGCCCCTCAAGTGCAAGCCTCTGGTGTGGGTATGGCTTGGGCCCAGGACACTGTAGGGTATCCAAGATCAGCCAACATGTCAGACAAATAAGAGACAACCTTGATACATGAGTGTCTAAAATGTCTTTTAGAGAATTATCAGAAGGCTAGAGCGCATTCGCAATGAATTGACGCTGTAGCACTGCTCAAAATTGAAAGTCATGACCGGATATATATTGAGCGAGTCAGGGTATGGGGGCATCGACAGTGAAAAATAAATCGACCACCAGTTACTGTAGACCTGATGCTCTATTCACTATTGCAGCAGATATATTCTCATACGATAAAAGGCATTCACTCCTGTTTGGTTGGAATCGATTTACTATCGCTTGGGTCAATGGGTACGGGGTACCGCTCAATCATACCGGCCAAGCATCATCGCCTAGCTGGAGTGTATTGATTGTAGAGAAGGTCATAAACATATGTTCGTGCATCATCCATATCAATTCAAATAGCTACAAACCCAACCTAAGCCTTCTCACCACTAACATCCGGATACAAGTCAAACCGCCGCTGCGTATAAATCGGAATCCCCTTCCTCGTCCCCTCCAACGTCTCATTATCCAAATCCGCATAAACAACACCCTCACTCTCCTCCGCCTCGCTGAGAACCTGCGCACTCGGGTTCGCAACCAAACTATGCCCGTACGCATGGTATGTAGAACTCATATCCCGTGCCGGACTGCACATTGCCACATACACCTGGTTATCGACCGCGCGCGCCCGCGCAAGCAGCGACCAGTGCAGGGGACCGGTAGTCAGGTTGAAGGCACCGGGGTAGACGAGCAGGAAGGCACCCTTGCGCGCAGCGATCATGGCTGCTTCGGGAAAGCGGATGTCGTAGCAGATAGACAGCCCGATCTTACCATACTCCGGCAGATCGATAACAGTCAACTGATTCCCTGGCGAAAGCACCTCACTCTCCTTGAACGTGATCTTGCCAGGGATATCGATATCAAACAGATGCGTCTTGCGATGCGTCCCGATCAACGACCCGCTCGGCGAGAACACAAGCGAGGTATTGTAGTATTTCTTCGTAGTCGCATCGAGTTCGGGGATACTCCCGCCCACAAGGTACGCTTTTGCTTCTGCGGCGATGGAGGAGAGCGAGTGGAAGGAGGGGGATTGTTCTTTTGTGGGCGGGGAGGGGAGGAGCGTTTCGGCGTATTTGGGGAAGTATGACGTGCCGTAGGGGGAGTTGAAACATTCAGGAAGGACGATTAGGGATGCGCCTGCTTTGGCGGCTTCGAGGGCTTTGGTGCGGGCGTTGGAGAGGTTGACTGTTTTGTCGGCGCCTGTGTAGTGCGGTATTAGTGGTGTTGCGAGGGATGAGTACAGAGAGAGATTACCTGAGGCCAGCTGCACGAGGGCGAGCTTCAACGGTTTCTTGAGTAAGGATGCCATGGTGTATGTCTATTCAAACATGTGTAGTCTGAAGAGAGAAGTGGGAGGGCAAGTCAGATTGTGATAGAGATGCGGGGAATATCTCGGAGATCGGCCGTTCTTGCCGGATACTGGGATACTGGCATAGGGCAGCACGCCATGATTGCTCAGAGATAGGCTAGATTATCTGTACTACGCTGAATATTGGATAACAAGAGATACAAATATTCCATTGGGATATGCATATCGTGTACAAGGCTGGCATGGCGTGGATAGATCCCACACCCGAACTCTAGATGCAGGGGGAAAAAAACAAAAAGAAAAAGAACTATCGAAACAAGATGTCTCGATTCTCCTCCATTCCAAACCATCCAAACCATCCAAACCAGACCTATATCAAGCCTACCAACGACCGCACAGCATACCCAAAAAAAAAGCAATATTAATAGCAACACCGATATCCCGGAAACCGTTCACCGTTCATTTCCGATCCCACGGAGAACTCCATAGAGATCGGCCCGGATTAGGGGGGCAGATCTAATATTCGAGCCAGAATCCAGCCAGAATCCAGCCAAGAATTACACGTCCAAAAGACACATGGACTATTCGGATGTCTCTGCCAATAAAGAATTCTGATCAAGACAGTCGGATTCATACCCCGTCCCTAGCGAACGAGAACAAAGAAAGATCTGCCGATTTTAAACCGGTCCCAACCGTTGAGTGTCTATCGTTCAGCCTTTTTCGGGGGGGGGTCTAATTTAGTGGACTCCATTGCTCCGGGTAAGTTTGTTCTATGCGTGTTCTATACAGGGCCCCCGGGTGATATCCGGGGGCTTGAACGGACATATCGCGGTGGCGAGAGTCGAGCCAGGTTTGAAAAAGGAATATACAACACGAATCATGTGCGAGTACTTGTGCATGCTTGCACATAGTAAAGGATAGATCAGAAACCACATGTCATGGATGTTTTACTTTGTGGTTTACTCCGTGTACGGAGAGTCAAGAGTATACTTGTACGGAGTAGAGCAGTAGTACATGTCAGTCTCACTCTGATTAGTGTGTACAATCATTAAAATGCTGTTTCTTAATTCCAGTCTCTATAATCGCAATTACCTTGACTTGTTTGACTCTATAGAGTACTCTGTACGGCACTCCTGACCCCCTGAGGGTGCACGGGGAACTAACTGGCTCTGCCGCAATGAAAGATACGTACGAAAAGAGAACATAAAGAGAGAATTGGACGGGAAAAGGAGACGAGTAGATCTCATATTATTGTAACAGTTTTTTATTCTTTTAATGTGGCATTCTCAACTCTGCCCAGTAAAAGACGATGTGATTCTCCACGTTCGTTTCCTTTGATTCTTGCCCCAGGGTTCACCCTCAACTCTCTTTTTTTTTTTTTTTTTTTTCGCCTCTGGTCGCTCGTTTTCGCCTTCAAAAGAATTTTGAATAAAAGAGAGGCAATTCTTTATTTTATTTACTTCACTCGTTTACTTTTACTACTGTGTGATTCCTCATGTCTGCCGGTTTCCTACTCCAGCCAAAATAACCTCGATTTTCCATTCGCAATAGTCCCCGGGACTTTATTTTCGACTTAATCTATCCAGTTCGAATTTGCAAAGGCACAGGCACAATGTTCAAAGACTTCACCTTTAATCCACGACCCCGCGTCGCCTTCGATGGCGATGATCGCCTCATGGTCGACAGCGACAGTTCGCTGGTCTCCCCACTATCCTCGCGTTGTCCATCGCCTGGTCCTTTTACCTCGCAGCCACAGGGCCAGCGATTTCCCCGATCAGTGCGACCATCTCTCCTCCGTTCCCGACAGCCCTCTCTCCCTCCGACCTCGGTCCCCGCCGACCACCAGCACGGCAGCTTATCCATCGAAACCCTCACCAAGAAACTCCACGAACATACCCTCCAACAGCAGAGCCAGCACCAACAGAACCAACAACAGCTGGATCCCAGGAATAACGCGCAAGAAGAATGTCTCTCACCACACTCCCTCCCCGAACTCGTCCCCGGCTCCGGACTACCAGGATACTTCCTCACGCCTCCAGACACAGATGTCGACCATGACGATGACTCTTCACTCCACGGCGACGCCGATAACGAGTCAACACTCACCTCGCCGACCGTCTCGCATATCCAAACACCCTTCCTAAGCCCGACATCCGTACCGCCCGAGTTCCTGCACACAGATAGCAACAACACGCACGAGGCGATCAACGTCCGCGCGCAGAGACAGCAGATCTCGCAGATTCAGTGCAGCGCGGCGGATATCGAGGCGATTCGTCGGGCGCTGATCTGCTGCGCGGAGGAAGATAGTCCCATGGACACGTTTGGTGAATATGATTGCCATCCTAGTTCTTTGCCGCCGAGGCGGTCTCCGCGTCGGAGAGCTGTTACTACGAATCGGAGTCGGTCCCGGCCTGTGGGGGCTAGTGGTTCGGGTTCGGGCTCTGGTTCGGGTGTAAGAGCGGGAGTAGGGGATTCGGAGCAGGGGTATCGAGGACGACGGAAGAGTAGCTCCGGGGCATTGCTGCCGAGTTTCTCATCGCGGATTGACAAGAACTACTACCCGCCGTCGTCGAGTCGGGAGATGCGCAAGAAGAGTGAGCAGGGACTTAGGAGGAAGAGTTTGGTTAGTGCTGCGTTGGCATCTATGGTGGAGAATTGTCTTTAATGCTGTATCTGGATTTGTATTTGTATTATAGTTCCCTTCTTGTATATAGTATGCTTGTACTCGACTTGACAAAGATACCCATCTACCTCACCACCACAGTTATACAAATAAATCACGCCTGATCCCCCTGCAACCCAACCAACCCCAGCGAAACCCCCCACAACCTCCCCTCCCCCATTTCATCAAAAGCATGCGCCTCAAACCCCGGATCAAAACTCCGATACCCCTCCTCCACCATCCCCCCAACCTTACAATCCTCCAAATACTCCCCGCCCACACCCTCATACTCCCGCCCAACAGCAGCAAGCACCGTCGTCGCAGCACCCTGCTCCACGCTCTTCAAATGCTGCTTCATCTCCGGCTGCCTCCATTCCTCCAGCACCGCTTCATCGATGTACTTCTGCAGGCCGGTGAAGACGTTACCAGGGTGTACGGAGAGGCCCTGCACGCCGCGGGACCCGAAGCGCCGCGATATCTCGTTCATCATGTAGATATTTGCTGTTTTTGACTGAGCGTATGCTAGTTTAGGGACTTCGGTGGGATCGAGGTCTGTGGATTGGAGGTTGAGGTCGTGGAATTGGATTCCGAGACGGCGGTGGGCAGACGACGTAACGCCGACGACGCGGACTGCTTCGCCGGCTTCATGGTCGATGGAGCGCAGCATTACAGGCAATAGTAACTGGAAGAGGAGAAAGTGGCCGAGATGGTTCGTCCCGAATTGCATTTCAAACCCATCTTCCGTCTTTTGTTCGCGGGGGGTTGCCATGACGGCCCCGTTGCATATCAGGACGTGCAGATAGCTAGCATGTTTCAAGAACTCATGCACTGCGTGTCTGATACTCGCGAAGCTGGAGAGGTCGAGATGGAGGAGACGGACGCGTGATCCGTCGAGGATATCTGATAGTGTGCGTCTGCCTTTTAGCATGTCGCGGACGCCGAGGAAGAGGGTTGCGCCTGTTTTGGCGAGGGAGCGGGCGGTTTCGGTGCCTAGGCCTGAGGAGCAGCCGGTTATGAGGATTGTTTTGTGGGGGAGGATGTTGTCGAGGGATTGGGTGGTTATTATGTCGCTGGCTGTTAGGGAGGGTTCGGTCATTTTGGTTTACTTTTGCTGTGGCTGGGACTTGGTGTCTTGTGGGATACTAAGTACAATGTAGATGGGAGTTTATGGAGGATAAGTCAAATGTACGTCAGAATGGCATAGTCCCTGGGTATCTAATAACTCCGTAGCAAAAACAAATCAAAAGTCAGTCTCATCGCCGGCCCATGCCATCTGTCTTTCGTCGCAGAAATGGTAAACGGATGACGGCTCGTAGTCGACTAAATGCGCCCCGTTTTGATTTCTCTGTCAGTGCAGGTATGTGATGCTGGATTACCGGGCGGGTTTGCTGATCCTGAGCCCTAAGCCCGGAGGTGGGTCCGTCGTCGTACATACTCAACGGCCATGGTTCCGGGTAGAAACGTTTCTGGAGCTGAGGTTTTTGCTCTGGCTTGTTGGGAGTTTGCCTGGGCGCATTCGAAGGAGCTTGCTCCAGCATGATGGAAGGAACTTCTTTCGGTGCGCTGGGGACTTGCACCGGTTCGTTGACGACAACACCATCCTCTTCGCATGGCCCTGGTTCACCCAGGACGCTGGATTCTGGTGTTTCGGAACGGGATCCATGAGTCGACGCACCATCTTCGTTGTTCTCCAAGCGCTCCGAGATTGACGGCATTGGTGTATGAGGTGGTTCGCCCACCAGATCTGAATGTACCTGCACCTCTTCATTGCCAGTATCGCCATTTGTTTCTGGCCCATTATAAGGCACATCCAATGGCGCAACCTCTCTTTCCGATTTCAAGACTTTCGTGCTGATGGTACTCGCAGATAAGAACGACTCCCGTTTATAATCCGACGAGGCGCACGAGAAGTCATCCATATCCACATCTTCGATATAAGAGACGATGCGGGCAAAGTTGAGCGATTCATGCGGGTTCAGTATCTCAAAGGACGTTCCCTGGTGCACCATTGTCGCCTTGGCCTGTATCAGGTCCGTGAGGACCGAATCTGATTGCGTCTTTGTATGGGTGCTGCGGAATGACGACTCTCGGGTAAGAGATGGTTTCCTTAATCGATCGTGAAATGTATTCTGATTCATCAGCATGCGCAAGAAAATAGAAAAAAAGGGAAGAGAAGCATACCAGTCGCTTTGAAACTCTTCTGCGAATTGGAAACTCCGAATGCGCCATTTGGTCACTAGATGCTCGTGGAACTATGTCCGTCAGTACAATTTCATGGTTGCGACGAGACGTCCCACTCACAAAGAAAACTATCCAAACCTTCCAGCTCCTGTTCACTGCGCTGCGATGCAATACTCAGCGAATATGACGGCGAGAGAGGCGGCGGACTTGACGTCGCTGACAGAGAAGGCGTCTGGTTGAGATTAGAAGCACCGTTGCTGTGCTGCAGCGCCTTCGCGCCATGGCCATCTGAACTGCAGCTCTCGTCATCCTGCCAGAGACACTGCCGGTATTGGTGTACCGAAAGCAATTCCGAGCAGTCCGGTTTCGATTCCTCCATGGCTGCGCTATAGGCTGTGCCTGCGCTTAGGGAATCCTTGTGCTGGTGAAGCTGAAACTGCAAAGAACCGGGATAATGGTCGAAGTCGACAACGCTGTACCGGAGTCCCAGAGGATGGGGATTGGATGGTCGAACTTCCATTGTGGCCAAAGAAAAAAGAGGAAAAAGAGTGGTTAAATTTTCCAGGGTTTTTTTCCGAGCAAAGACTGAGTCTGGTTCTATGAAATCACGACCAGGTGCAAGGCCGAATCAGGAACCTAGCACGAGCCAGCGGCTATTACAAACAGGCAGGGACCCAGGCAAACAGAGGATTTGATCAATAGACAGCGTTATATGAGTCCGTGTTATATAGGTCAAGGTAGCAAACGAATGAGGGCCAAGGAACGATAGTAGAAAGAGACGGAGACAAAGAGGGAAGAGTCGGATTATATGACAGAAAGCAAATGGATGCGCCTCGCTGAGAAGAGCAAAAATAAATAAAAAGAGACGCGACAGAAGGTAATTTGTAGAAAAGATCCAGAATTATACAAAGTACCGGTGTCGTCCAGCAGAGCCTCTTCCTTCCTTTTTGAGTCGGTCTTTTCCAACCACACTCTCTCCTAACTCTACTCTCTACTACTCTGTACTCCGTACTCCGTATACACACCCCCTTCATCTCATTTTCGTTTCTTTTTCCTTCGTGTTTTTTTCTTTTTCTCTCCGCTCGACGGATCTTTTTTTAAAATTTCCCACCGCCAGCCAACGTGGTCCAATGATGACTGCAGTTGCGGTGCTGTCCTGCCCCCGCCCCCCTCCGCGACAAACACACCAAGACGAATGACTGATCCATTATGAGACGATCTCAACGCCAGTCGATCTCGAAGTTCTGCAAGGAACATGTTTCAGGTCACCGCCGCGAAGGCAAAACACCGCTCATTTATGATCATGCTCTAAGTCTATGTACAGATTACTACTGTAAGCACAGTAGAGAATGCCTGCCAAACTCTCTTTCCACCGTTCCTTCTCGCTCTAACATGTCCCTCAGCCATTGCTTGGCCTCGTCAACATCTTTGGCCCCAAACTTAACGATGACACATCCCCGTATTGACGCTGCGGTCCAAGTCAGCCTTGGTGATGCTGTTGGTATTGTCGTTGTCGTTTTCGCTTTCATGGTTGACGGTGTTGTTGTGCTGGATACCCCTCGGACCCGCGGAAGACTGGTGAATTCCTTCAAAAAGAATTGCGCCAGCGGATGAAAAACCGGCCCCCGGAGGATCAGGGTGCCAAATATCCCCAAATCATCCATTTCATCGCGATAGCTGTGTTCCAATGGAGACATGCCATCTAGGATGACGTTATCCCGCAGCAAGAGCCTTTTCGGGGCTGCGTGGCCTGCGTTGGCAGGGAGAGTCCACACTTCATTGTGCCCTCTCCACTGGAAAAATTCCCATGCTTCTCCGCGTGCCGCCCTGCCTGCTGACAGCCAGTCTAAAAATGCCACGCTGGAGTGCTGCGGGTGTACATGAAACGCTTGGCTTTGCTTATACGAACTCCCCTTGTATGGCTGTACGGGGTCGGGCAGCAATAGCAGCGCTGCTCCCTCGTCTATCGTGGCGGTAAGATTCTGCTCCGTGCAGAAGTCTTTCGATGGTGTTTTGTAGATTTTCGTACTTCCCTGCGTCAGAAGTGCTAATCGTGCTTTGGGTCGGACCCTAACATGCATGTCAACATGATCCCCAGCCACAAGTCCTCCTCCATAGGAGGACATGAAAATAATGGCGGCGCGACTGCTTGTCCGGACTGGGTGTGAGATGAGCCGCAAGGGGTATGTGGAGGAAAGGGTTGCGATCGAGGAGGATCGCTGGAACGCCTCGATGTCTATCTCTCCGCCACCAACCGTGCGCTTGCGAGGGGGACTCGTTGTCATTGCGTTTCCATTGCCGTGTAGTGCCATGGGATGCCCATAATTATCTTATACTAAACCCCCATGAACTCAAAATCACCAAGAGAGTCCCCGTTCACAGCCAATTGGCTCCTCTGGTCCCTCTGAAATGGTGACATCAAGTATGCCGTTTCCGGTGGTCCCGCGTTGGCCGATGGCCGAAAGCTTCTTCTCCATATTTTCCATGAAGATGGCCGAGATGTGCGAAAATTCAAGAGCATTGACCCATTGAGCAGTGAGAGGTTTGTGACATACACTGTTCACGGCCCCTAGCATTGGTATGCTGCGATAGCCCTGTGGCCCACCTCCGGCGTTGCGGCACCGAACATCTTCCATAGTACGGAGTACTATCGGGCCACGAACTGCTCATATGCAAGATTTATTGAATAAAACCTTCCTTACTCTAATTCTGCTACCAGCCTTTCCCGCTCTTTATTTTTATTCTATTTTTTATTTTTATTTTTTTTTTTTGCCGGTAACTGGTGATCCAATCGTTGCCCAAGATGAACCTCGTTCCCCGAGAGGTACTGTCCACCGCATCGTCTACCAGAAGATCAATGGCTAACAGCTGAGCTAGTTGGACAAACTCATCATCGCGCAAACCGGTCTCCTAGCTCAACATCGCCTGGCGAGGGGTGTGAAATTGAATAATACCGAAGCTACAGTGCGATCTTCAACTGTCCAAGTTGATATAATCGATAGCTGACGTTATGATAGGCATTGTTGTCGCATGTCCTTCATGAGGTAAAATATGGATTTCCGCCAAATCAATTGATGCGCTAACCAATTGTTGTCAGCTAATCCGCGATGGAACCCGCACAGTGGCTCAGCTCATGTCTCTGGGAAAGCATATCCTAGGCCGCCGACATGTGCTTCCTTCTGTGGTCTCTCAGTTTCAAGTATTGCAGGTTGAGGGAACCTTTACCACTGGAACTCATTTGGTGACGGTAGACCAACCTATCAGTTCTGCAGATGGCAATATAGAGCTTGCCCTCTACGGCAGTTTCATTTCTCCTCCATCCGAATCCATATTCCCGGTATACGAAGATGCAGACTATGATCCGCACCTGGCGCCAGGTGCGATTGTCCCGGCTGACGTGGGCACGATTGAGCTCAATCCGGGGCGGAAGAGGACTAGAGTGCGCGTTACCAATAAAGGAGATAGACCTATCCAGGTGATTATCCGTGTCTTCACTATGTGCGGACAATCTTTTGACGATGCTGCCATTCTAGGTCGGATCGCATTTCCACTTCATCGAGACCAACCCTCAATTGGAGTTTGATCGCATCAAGTCATACGGTTACCACTTAGATATACCATCGGGAACCTCCGCACGATTCGAACCGGGCGAAACGAAGACGGTGACCCTGACTCAGATCAGTGGTCTTCAGACCATTAAGGGTGGAAGCAGTGTCGCAACGGGAACCATTGACATGTCGCATGTGAACGCGGTCCTGCGACGTCTCGAGGAAGAAGGTTTCCGGCACGTACCCGAGGATCCTCCATCAGACCACAGCGTTATCCGCCCGTACACAATGGACAGAATGTCATATGCTATGATGTATGGACCAACGGTTGGGGATAAAATCCGTCTTGGTACCACAGATTTGTGGGTGAGGGTGGAAAAGGACTACACCGCACATGGCGACGAGTGCACCTTTGGCGGTGGCAAGACTCTTCGGGATGGAATTGGTCAAGCTGCAGGTCGAGCAGACGATGAATGCGCGGATCTGATTATTGTCAACGCCCTGGTTATCGACTGGACTGGTATCTATAAGGCTGATATTGGTGTGAAGAACGGTTCGATCGTGGCTATTGGAAAGGCCGGAAATCCTGATACTATGGACGGTGTCAATTCGAACCTGATTGTTGGATCGAACACGGATATTATCGCTGCTGAAGGAAAGATTGTTACGGCTGGTGGTATTGATACACACGTTCACTTCATCTGTCCCCAGCAGGCCGATGAGTCTTTAGCCGCAGGAATAACTACCATGTTTGGTGGCGGAACGGGAGCAAGGTAAGTCCTTCAACGTCTTCTCAAGCTCAGCTCTAGCTCTCAGGCAATGATTGCTAACCTGTCTCTCCAGCACGGCCACTGTCGCGGCAAACTGCACTCCGAGTAAAACGTATATCCGTCAAATGATGCAGGCCCTGGATCATCTACCCGTCAACTACGGTGTAATTGGAAAAGGAAGTGACACTGGGAAGCCAGGCCTACAGGATCAGTGTAACGCAGGTGCTGCTGGTTTGAAGCTGCATGAAGACTGGGGTTGTACGCCATCAGCCATTGACACATGCATTAGGTGGGTCTTTCATTGCCATCCACTTGCATTATGCATTCTGTTAACGAGGTAATACAGCGTCTGCGAAGAATACGACATCCAATGCCAAATCCACACCGACTCCCTGAACGAATCCGGTTTCGTCGAACGTACCGCAGCAGCTTTCAAGGGCCGTACCGTCCACGCCTATCACATCGAAGGCGCTGGAGGCGGCCACGCCCCAGATATGATTACCCTCGTCCAACACACCAACATCCTCCCTAGCTCCACGAACCCAACCAAGCCCTACACCTGCAACACAGTCGACGAACACCTCGATATGGTCATGTCTTGCCACCACCTGTCCAAGAACATCCCCGAAGACATCGCCTTCGCAGACAGCCGTATCCGCGCAGAAACTATCGAAGCTGAAGACATGCTCCACGACACAGGCGCCATCAGTATGATGTCCTCTGATTCCCAGGCAATGGGTCGCTGCGGCGAGGTGATCCTCCGCACCTGGAACACAGCGCATAAGAATAAGGAGCAGAGAGGCCCTCTCCCTGAGGATGAGGATACTGGTGCTGATAACCACCGCATTAAGCGGTATGTCAGTAAATACACGATCAATCCTGCGTTGGCGCAGGGTATAGGTCATATGGTGGGGAGTGTGGAAGTGGGTAAGATGGCGGATTTGGCGATCTGGGAGCCGTCGAACTTTGGAACGAAGCCGTTCTTGGTGCTGAAGAAGGGATTCATTGCTTCGGCGCAGATGGTATGTTTCCTCCCTGTTAGCCGTGATGGTCGTCACTAACAATGTCTAGGGAGATCCAAATGCTTCGATTTCCACTGTCCAACCTATCATCACCAGAAAGATGTTCGCGGTGCGTACCACCCTCTTCCCATTACCATGGTCAAATCAATCCCACTAACGCTTCCAATAACAGCCCCTAAACCCAACTTCTAGCGTGCTCTTCGTCTCCAGGGCCAGCGTCGAATCCGGCGTCATCGACTCGTACGATCTGAAAAAGCAAATCGAGCCAGTCAAGAACTGCCGCACTGTCACGAAACATGATATGAAGTTTAATAATGCGACGCCGCATATGGAGGTTGACCCGGAGTTATTTGTGAGTTTCGCCCCCTCCCCAGGTTCTGCGACGTATGGGGATAAGGATGCTAACGGGTGGTTTGTAGACTGTCGTGGCAGATGGAAAACAGTGCAAGGCTGGAGAAGTTACAAGTGTACCATTGGGGCAGCAGTGTTTCCTTTTCTGATCTTATTTACCCTATATATTATTCAGTGTTTGGTTATGGGGGGAAAGGAGTATATGTAATTTTGATGATAGTTAATCATAATCACAAAAGTAATTTATTCATTCTTTAGTAAAGTGTTCATAGCAAGCAAACGAGTAAGTAATTCCAATAAACACCAATCTATGTCCTGAATAATTAGGAAATGCAATTGAAAAGACACAATCAATTAGCCAAATACAACAAGAAGACGCAGTCGTTCGTCAATCATTATCATCAATCTCATTCTTCGGTTTCGTGTAGAAATAGGGGTCGGAATATGGAAACATAACAAGTAGTAAAGCAGGGTATAATAAGCAAGCAAGTATGCTGTAGGAAAAACATGAACAAAATAATCCAGATAACTGATGTCGAAAGAGGGGTTTCAATGGCGTTTGTATTTCTGTCCACATGTTAGCTCAAAACGTACCAGAAAGAGGATATTGAGAAATGGAAAAACTTACATCCTCCATCCTCCTCCGATTCGCCGGATCCAGCGTATTCCCGGCCCCCAACAACGTCTGCCCAACAGCCTTGGATACCCCAATAGCCGGTCTAAGCACAACAGTCGGCGCGCGCTTCCACACAGCTCTCGCAGCAGCCTTGGCACTCCCACTTTCAACGACTTCGCCTGGCACAGCGACGATGGCGTCTCTAGCGAGTAAGAGGTCGCGTTCTAAACCGGTGAAAGCGCCGCGGAGGCCGTGCACGACACCCACGGGTTGGTCTGCGTATAACGAGATTTTCTTGGCTTCTTCTTCGTCGAGGAGATCTTCGTCTGTTACTCCTGCTGCTGTAGAGGGGATTGGTTGTTGGGCGGCAGCGTTTTGAGCGGAGAGGAGGTCTTCTGCGCCTTGGAGGACGGTTTGTGTGCCGATAGCGAGTTTGGCACCGAGTCTGACGAGTTCGTTGGAGGTTGTCTTTGCGAAGGAGATGGCGCCGCGTTGGATGCTGCGGACGATGCGGCCGTCTTTCTGGTATTCGCGCATAGGCACCACGACGAGGTCTTTCATGCCGCCGCCAACGTTAACGAGGGAGCGGATGGGGGCGAGACCTGCAAGGACGCCGGGGAGTTGGTTACTCTTGACGTCTGGCATCCAGATGTCGTTGAGGGTTTGGCCTAGTTTGTCGAAGCCGGAAATACCGTAGATAATTACATGGCGGAGGACCATGTCTGCGCCGTCTAGGACGAAGAAGTTCATAAACTCGGTTGTGCGACCGGACCGGAGACCAGCATAGTCAACGCGCTTAGGTTTGAAATCGAGTTTAACTGGCACGGAATTGACCTCTGCCCGCTGCAAGAACGGAACCTCGCCTGGAGCAGGCGGCGTGCTAACGGCAGACTCATCCCTGAACTCGAAGAACCGACACAGGAAGTCCAAAGCATCTTGATCGACGTGCAGCCGAACAGGGAGAATAGTAGCCTTCAGGACAATTTCCGACGCAGCAAGCTCGGGAACTGGCTTGACAGTCAAGATTTCCAGGTGGATCATGCTCGTTCCGCTTTCCTTCTCGCCAGCTTCGTGCATATACGTAGCGAACTTCTTCCATGTCGACGTGGGCACGTGGTCGAAGATAGTTAGATCATTGACACGCACGTCCAACGAGCTTTGCGTCTCGTCTGAATCAGGCGGGAAGACAACAAGGTCTGCGCAAATACCCTTCAATTCAAACGTCATCTTATGGTACTTGCTCCGAGACAGACGCAGCTTTTTCCCTCGTATCGACGGCGATTGACCCTGTCGCGCTGTTGCCCCAGTCACAGTAGTCGTAGTCGCATAGCTACCCGTTTCGCTGACGAGATCATCGATATTCCGATTAATATCGCCACGAATATCTCGCGGATCCTTGTTCGCGGGAATGCCAATGTATATTGAGTTGAAGAGGCAGTCACCAATCACCGATTCCTCCTCTTCTTCGAGTCCAGGGGACGCTCGGCTGCCACCAGTCCTAGAACGTCTTTCAGACGCTCTCTTCTCCACATCCTTGACAGCCTTGGAAATCGTATCCCGCGTCCGCTGCCAATCGTATCCATCGAACAAGTTCCAGATGACATGGGCGTCCCGGACCCTAACTCGCAGAGGACTCCTCTGAAGCTTCGAGTCATTTGAAAGCCCATACGTGTTCTGCGTCGAATCCCACCGATGTGCCGTACCACCAACCGCGGACTGTTTGGCGAAATGGTCGCTCTGGAAATCAAGCTCAGAAAAGCTGGACGAAACCTCGTATTGTGAATGGAAACTATCGAGAAGATCTTCGGAATCGGAAGCGCCCGTTGGCGAGCCCGTCATGCCGGCGAACTCATCGGTATCAGAGCCAGGCTTGGCTGGATAGAAGTCGCTCACGTATTCGAGCTCGTCCTCTATTTTCTCCCTTCCATCATCCTCTCCAATAGGAACAGGATCATGAACACCCTCCGGCCGAGCAGTTACCGGATCAGTCTCAAAAGCATCCCCTGAGAACGACGCCAACATGTCCTGGATTGGCATGACTTCCGTCCGGTATTTGACGGCTTCAGTCTGAGGAATCGGTGGCTGAAGACCATTCGCGATGCTTATCAAGGTCTGCGTCGAATCGGCACATGTTTCGAGGATCAACAGGTCATCTCTGAGCTCCACATCAATTGACTTCGTCCCGTCACCTGAAGTCAGTAACTTCACGGTAGCTGTCGCTGACGAAATCGACGACACAGGAACATATCCCAAGTCGATCAAGGACTGAACTTGGCTGCTCTGTGGAACGGTAGATCTAGCCCGGGATACGTTATCGGTATAACCCACATTCTGCACGTCGTCGATGACCATAATTGACGCTTTTCGGAGGTCTAATGCCGCCTCAGAGGACTCAGGATCATGAATGGTACCGGAGAACTTGGCGTTCGTGAGCACAACCAAGCCCCTGGCTGGCGTGTTGCGAGGATTGAGGCCAATAACGCAGTCTCGCAAATCCAGCGCCAACCTGATAGGCTTAGCAGGCTCTTTTAGACTGCCAGGCCCTACAGGAGACTTCTCAGGCGCGTGACGAGACTCCTGTACCTCTGCAAGATTGGCCAGTGAGTTCGCCATATTACTAGCAACATCACCCCGCGACATGTCCTCGCTAAACCCAAGGAACGCCATCACTGACGGAATCGTATACTCCGCCCGTAGGTTATGCAGCTTGATCTTGACAGCAGGTTCCATCTCATCGGCAATGAAACGAGCCATCAGAACGGGGAGTGGTGTGTGATCCTGGCTCTGCTCCCTGCTCAATATCAATGCTTCACCAAGGAGCTCCTCCTCGCCATTTCTGACGACTGCTATCGTTCCAACTTGAGCAGCAATCAAAGAGGGAATGCTAATATAAGCAGCCTCGGCGTTGCGGAGGTGAGCGGAGATACCCCCGACTTGACCGCCAATGTGTACCTGACTTTCGGCTTCCTTAATCAGAGCAAGGATAAGAAGCCCGGGGCGGTCATCCTCGGGAAGATACTTGGCCATACTCGAGAACCTGTCCAGCTCATTGCCGAGTTGGGAAATTGGTTCGAGGTCATTGATCCGAGAAATGACGGCCTTCATCCCGGCAACCGTCACGCGAAGAACAGAGCCTTGTCGCCGTTGTCGGAAAAGCGTTTCCAGCATGATATCGTCATCCTCATCGTACTTATCTTTGGACGGCGTAATCAGCGCCAGCAAGCGGTCCAAATCGACTTCCTTCGGAGTGAACAGGTATTCAACTCTGATACTGGTCAAGCTGACCTTCGCAGGTGCATCCTGGGAGCCATTAATGAGGAATGGCCCGCTCAGTTTTGCCTTGTCGACTTGGACTCCGATGCCTTCAGACCTGCTGACCATCTTGAGAGCCGTTGATCTCAATTTAAGGCAATGGGTTTCTCCAACAACGTCTAGCACAACACCACCCACGCGAGCATTTACCTTCCAAAGCGTAGAATCATCTGGCTGCACACTGGCAGGCGGAGGCGCCGTCTCGAAATGCACTCCACGGGGCCGTTTTGGTGGTGGCGCTTCTTGCTTGGCACCCTTCACGGTTGACACAGATGAGATAGAGCTTCCTAATTCCAGAATGGTGCTCAAACCACCCAAGAAACCAAAAACTTCCTCAAGATGTTGAATGTTGAAATTAATCAGCAGCGGAAGTGTGGTCAGATTGACTCTTCCAGAATCAGGAGATCTGCTCAGGGAAAGAGAGATGTCACCATGCGTGGGCGCCATGATATCCCGTGTAGATTCTCGCATCTTCAAGCTCTCATCGAACGATAGCAGATTATCAGAAGCAAATCCTAGCGTGAACTTGGAAATATCGAGATGCAAATTTGTGGTTTCCTTCTCCGTAGCGAAGCGGGCCTGTAGGCCAGATGCTGCAGCTTGCAGGACGATATCTTCGATAGACGAACCGAACGACTGCGATGAGTTCAATCCAGTGCCGTCAGCAGGATAGGCGTGTCCATGCAAATGCTCGACGAACTTGATAGACAGCTTCTTGAGAGAGAGGCTGATCGCTTGTCTACCCTGCGGCTTCTCTGGTTGACGGCCTTTCTTAGGAGGTTGAGGTTGTTCCTCGCTACTGCCAAAGGCCTGGGCAATTCTCTGGCCCATCTTGGTGAGAAGCCAGCCGGTAGCAATGTCGAATTGCAAGTCCACGGAAAACACCTCGACCGCAATTGTTTTATGCTCATCGTGCACGTCGGCGCGCGACTCCTTTGAGCGGTGCGAAGTGCCTGGACGAAGTCGCGTAGAGTCATACATCCTTGAAGTAAGAAGGTCATCTTCAATTCTAGACTCCCGCAAGTCGGCCGTGGATTCTTCCAAGTCCTCGTGGGATCCTCTGCGTGACTCTGCTGACGTGCCTTCTCCACCCTCGTTGCTTTGTTCGACAGGCGGAATCCAGATCAACACCTTATCCACGCTGAAAAACCTCTTCGCCACACCAGTGACCTTATTCAACTCAGGAGTCGATTGGCCGAGATCCTTTTCAGTCGTTTCAGA